CCCCCCCCTCTCCTTCTATCTTCCCCCTGCAACTCCCGTTCTGCATGATACATTCTGCGACCCCCCGGAGCGCGTCCCGTTTGTTTGATTTGTCTACCATGTACAGTACGTGGCTCTGGATTGCAGAAAATCAAACCGAGTCACTAGTTATCGGCGCCAATGCTATGCTTCTATTCAATGTCATGCGATTTCTTTTTTTCTTGAAGCTCAAGCCTTACCTGGATCTTGGCTAATAGAATATGCTTAGGTAGTTTACTCTAACTGTAGCAGACTAGCACTACATTGTTTGAGAGTTGATTGCGTCAAGAGAATTATTATTGCATTGTCTCTTGGCCGGAGTATTGATGTACTCGGGCATGGTCATTATCATTATGTCATGTCTCATGAAAGAAAAAAAGCCTCAAAAAGGGGTATAAAACTCCAACGGAAACGAGAAAGGAAACGAGGCAAGAGAACAGACACGAAAACGCCAAAGGGATAAAAAAAAACAGAAGAAACCCAGAGAGAATCCACCAATGGGCAAAGGAACGCCCAGAAAACCAGAAACCCGAAGCCAACACCCCAGACAGGCAAAGACCAGACCACCCAAGAAACCAGGAACCGCAAACCAGCAAGACGAGCCCAGGAAAGCCCAGACAACCAAAGCACCACGACAGACCAGGCACCCAACATCCACCAAGGGAAGCAAAATCCCTCCACGCCTCAAAGAAACAAGGCACCACCACATCCAGCAAAAAGGGAACACCAATCCCAGATGAGCACGAGAAAAGGCAACAACTGTCACAATGAGTAGCCCAGTTGAAAAATCAAACAGTATATGTATACTTATCTTGCGAATCACCCGTCCCTCACCCCGAATCACCAGAGTCCGCCGCGAAAGAGTGCCAAAGTCGAACATCATCATCCCACAACACACAGGGGTCAGCTGCCGCATCGATCGGTTCTCACCTAGAAAAATCCACATCCGGCTCCACCAATTCCTCCGCCACAGCCACTCGAGACAACTGCGTATCCTTTCCCCAAGTACGAAAACAGTTGCTACCGTCCTGCAAGTTGGGACTTGGGGTTGTCCCACTGCGGGTTGACATTCGGCAGCGTCGATAGTGCGGGTCTTGCCGGTCAGCTTTTGGGGTGAGGTAGAAAAGCTGATGGGATCCGACTCGTAAATTATCCGACTATCACTCGTATTCCATTGGGTTGAGCATTGAAACTGAGGCGAACTCGAGAGTATCGCCTTCGCAGCGCTCGTCGGATGGCTGGACTTCGGACGGTGGGACTTGCAGAGCCGTGGCACCGCGTTGTACAACGACGGTACCGGTCCTCTCTTGAAGGACATTGACGTCGGCGGTTCTGCGCGTCAGGAAGTGGTAGGTGTGGACGGTGAGTTTCTGTCCGAACCGGCGGCATCGGCCGATTGCCTGGGTCATACCGGAATCGTATTCGTTTTGACTGGATGCCAGGAGAGGCGAAAGGAAGAGAATATGGTTAGCGAGTTGCAGGTTCCTATTGATGAGAAGTCAGTACCAAATTGAGGGGAATCGAAATTCAAACGAGGTGAATCAAAAGATTCTGCGGGTGTATACTTACAGGCCTGCCGCCATCTCACTGCCCAGGCGCAAGATGAGCACCTTGGGAGCGGAAGCTTTTGTGCTTCCTCTCTTCCTCTTCTTCTGACCGCCATTCTCCTGGTCATCCAGGTCCAATCCGTCGCCTTCGGCCATCGCCGTGTCCTCCTCTTGCTGCTGCGGCAAGGACTTTGCCTTTTGATTGACAAAGTCTGTGATGGCCGTCGCCCTTCCGGACTTGGCTACACAGTGCGAAATGCCCGCATCAGCGAGGGCACGAGAGGCGTAGGATATGGCGTCCTCGAACTGAACAAATAACACCGCTTTCTCCTCCGCTGGGATCTTGTTGATGATGTCAACCATGCTGTTAAGCTTGCTGCTCTCTTGACCAGCACTGGCCTCTTCCACGGAACGCACACTGACTTGCTCTGAAATGCAAGCACTGGCGTTGCATCCGCCCACCGCGCAGATACGTTTCTTGGCTGCCGGTTCATTCACCACGGCCATGCAGTCCTGGCAAAGATGATGTCCACAGGTACGGACTACTGTCATGCCGTCTCTGCCCTTAGAATCGGACGATTCTAGGCACTTATCGCAGTTTCGGGATTGCTCGCTTTGCAGGCTCCGCATGACGGTGAAGAACCGGACCTCTCGACTGCATTCAACGATCTGTATAATCGTCTTGATGATATTGCAGACGAGGTCCTTGTTCAAGACGGTTTCGGTCTGCCAAGCTCTGAGTCTCGCCTGGTAGTCCTCTTCCGATACAAGAACGGGTTGCCGGTTCGTGGCGGATTTCTTGTTGCCGGACTCTGCGCCATCATCTGGTGATGGCTGTGATTCGGCGGGTTCATCGACATATACCTTCTTCAACTGGGTCTCCTGGGCCTTGCTTGGTCGACCCCCGCGCAGTTTCTCCTCCACCTTCTCCTGTAGCTCATCGTAACTGTCACCGTAAGACCAGATATTGGTTCTCGCCCAGACATCTTCTAGGAGAGCTCTAATCGAGTCCACAGTTTCCCCATCTCCCACTATATCCACGAAGTGTTCGTGATCCTCACAACCTGGATCGCAATCCAAGTCCCTCAGCAAGGCTTTCCAATCCTTGTTTTTTCGCGCCTGTGCCTTTTCCACCACCAGGAACGTCATCTTCGCCAGTGATGTCAGTCTGCCCCATCGTTCATCGCGAACCTTCTGCAGAGCGCCAATGCGCTTTGTGCAATTTTCGACGTTCCAGGGATAGGGTAGCATCCCTGCAGTCGTGACGCATCTCAGAAGGGCTTCGGTGGGCGATTCGGACTTCAGGAGCACATTTAGCGTTGTGCTCAGGGCATCTGACCTGGTGATCTTGCGGAGTCGACCCTCGTCGGCGACAAAATGGCTGTACAGTGCCTGGTAGATTGTCTCCTCTTTGGGGAGAAGATCAGACATGACGAGGTGGGTTTCCATGACCAACGAGCTGACGTCAACTGGGTTCTGGCGAGCGAAGCGATCAAGGAAAGCCTGTGCATGGCGCCGGCGATTCTCATACCAAGCCATGCTGCGAGGAGGCTGGTGCATCTCAAAGGTTTCCAACGCGGTCTGGTCTCGGCGAGCTACCTTTAGTCGGGAGTTTGAAGTAGGCATATCGCCGTCGTTGTCAATGCCCAGGTGAATGCCCAGGTGACGTGCAATATCCTTGACGTCGGCAAACTCGCCCAGCGCAGGGGTGCCGGAAATGATCCACTTGGAACGGGAATTGAGTGCGAGGGTAGGGAGGGTTCGATATTCACGGGAGTAGGTGTATTCATCAACCACCATGCGGTTGAAGCTGAATGCGTGGAGTGGGAGGTAAGTCATGTCCTCCAGCGAGGGATTGCGTCGACTCGTCGGAGCGGGGATATTGAAACCTTCTCGGTCATCCCACGGCCCCTTCTTCTTCTTGTTCTTCGTCTTGTCGGGGTCTTTCGAGGACCGAGCACGCTTTGCCTTTTTGCGTACAGGCTTTTCGGCGTCGTCTTCCTCTTCCCCTTGCAAGTCAAAATTGCCGTCACTTTCATCAGATGAGTCGTCATCCGGAGCGACTGGTTGCGAGCCGCGTGTCCCTGCTGGAGGGCAGACATCATTGGGTGGTTGCACGAAGGGATTTGCCGAGGGGTTCGTAGGAGATGGGCAAGGGCCATCACGGCCAGGAGCTTGGCTGGCAGAGGCGTGGGAAGACCACAAAGACTGACCAGGAGCGTCAGTCTCCAACTTACCAGTCTCAGTGGCAGCGCGTGCCTGAGCTTGAGCAGCAACAAAGGCAGCACCGCGCAGACGACGAGAAGGTACATATGTGGAATTTGCCTGTGTCCGCTTCAACTCCAACCGCCGAGCCCATACATCCGTCAAAAACCCCTCGGGTCCCCTTTCTTGCAACACTTGCACCACCTGGCGAAGAGATTTCTCTGCATCCTTGAACCAACTGTCAAAGTCTCGGCCCGCGTTCACGGGTGCTTTTGGGGTGCCCGTAAAGTACCGCATGACTTTATAGTAGTCCGCGCTGTTGAGAGCTGTCCACGAGACAAGGATGATATCTGCTTCGCGCATTGCCTTCACCGAAATTTTGCCAAGTTTACCTGAATTTGGGATGCACAGGACCTTGTACCTGCCTTTGAGGAATTTCTCGATCTCGCCGGCCCACTGCTTGAAAACATTGAATGGGAGGACAAGGAGGGTGGCCTTGGTCGCAATTTGCCCAGCTACCTGAGGGGTTTGCTGTAGGCGGAGAGAGTCCTGGTGATATTGGGCGTCAATCAATCCGAGGATGATTGCCGTTTTGCCATACCCAACTTCATCACACAGGACGCCGCCTCGTACCACTCTGGGCATAGTGACTTTGACCTCGGCTCGCCACGACATCAGAGGCAAGAGGGCCTCTTCCGTCTCCTCCTCCATAAACGGCGAAATGTGATCGGCCTCCTGGCTGATCATCCAACTCAGGGATCGGAGCTGGTCATGACGTAGGTCTAGCTTGAAATTAGGTGGTTGCTGATGGGCGACATCTTGCTCATTGTTAAGCAAGGTGAATCTCGGGTGACTGGTTCTTCCCCAGTCATTTGTATTGCCGACCAGCCGCCATTGAAACTCAATGCTAGAGTGATTGCCGCGGTTAACAAGCCGGCCATAGGCTTGGTGTGCCAGTGACTGGATGTTCAAGGCGAAACGCAATTCGGCGTTTCCGGCTTCATCAACTCGACGCAAGAGGACGAATGGGGCTGGCTTGGATTTGGCTGCGCGCTCGTAAGTTGCTGCGCCTCGTGGATCCTCGTACGGGATGACACGCCCCTCCTTATCACGACCCCAGATAATACCAGGAACTGGAGGGTCGCAGGTAGGGCAGAACGTGTCGTCGTTACTGGAGCGTTCTGCGCCGACGGCGACCATGTTCCAATCCTGGAACTCCGTGCGGCTGGCGATTTTCTGAACCGCCCAAGCGACATTCCGCATTTCGGACGACGATTTCCCGAGAGCCACTGCTTGCCAAGAAGCAGAAGATGTTGGTGGTGCAAGTTTAGGCAACAGTGCCTGTGAGAGGTTGAGAGACTTCGCCGGCGCTACGAGCGAGACCAGCGAAGTATATGAGTGGTGACAGTCGTTGCCCCCAAGGTACACGGTGTAGCCCGGCTGTAGACCGCGATAGACGATTGAGTCAGCCTCGAACGGCTGTAGTGTCGTCGCAGCAGGGGCAGCACACCAGCCTCGGTAGAAGGCATTGACTGTGGTCGGTTCGGCTGTGACGGCCGTTGCTCGCCAATTGTGGGATAGTTCGGCGATGGTGATGCGCCTCGAGTACCCAGTAAGACGGCTATGCTCGAACGAAAACACGCACGAGTCTTCGTCAGGGTGGCCAATCTTAGAGGGGTCGAGGAAGAGGTAGACGGCCTGGCAGCCAGTGGTGGCCTCCTTCTTGTACAACGACGCCAGCGCCGTTCCACAGTCTGGAAGGTAGGTGTAAACACCACGGACATCCGCGTCAAGCTTGTCCACATCATCATCGTCGCCACCAACCCGGACCTGGGTCCAAACCTCCATCTCGGGCATCGGCATTTTGGTGATGCCGATTGCTGCTTGGTACGCCGGTACCTGTGCTCCGTCGCCGGAGAAGGTCAACGAGAACCGCGTACTCAAGGGAGCAGCAATTTGCCACGAGCCATTTAGAAGGGTGCCCGGAGTCGGGGTCATGCGGGCGATCGGTTTACCGAAAATTTCTCTCACAAGGCACTGTGCCGGAGAACGTCGTGGAGCTTTGGCGAAGTACAGCCACTGAAGTCCATCAGGGCGGATCTGCAACTGCATGCTGGAGTGCTCGCCTTCGTAGATGACAGTCCAGATGTCGGACCGCTCGATGTCATAGAACCGGACATCTTCGGCAAGAGCAGACTTGACGGTCTCAACAAAGTCCCGTCGGGCGAGGTCTGCGCCGATATTAGCGGTGGTGGTGGTATTGTCGCCACCTGGACTGCCACGTTTCAAACCCTGACCTTTCACCACTGCAGCGCTCAGTTTCCCTTTAGTCTTCTTATCAGTAGACATCCGGGAATCTTGGGGGACCTGAGGCTTTGGCGAGGGATCGGTTGGGAAGCGGGCGAGGAATTTGTCAAAACCTGCTACGGACAGACCGGACAGCATGAGTCTCATGGGCAGAACACCCTTGAGGAAAGCGATGAACTCCACTGGCGAACTTCGCCAGAAATTGGGCGCCGCCAGGGATCGATAGGCGTGCGTTGGGTTACCAGCGCAGGAGCCGCAGGCACGATGGCCACACAGAATGCAGTCGTTGAGGTTGTCCTTGACCACGGACTGACCTTCGCAGATGCAGAACCGGGCACTAGCAGCCCCGTCCTGCAAAAGCCGGTCATACTGGTCGAAGGAACTTGGCGAGTCCTCAGTGTCGACCCGGACAAGGATGTCGCCATCCTCGTCCAAGTATGCAAACTTCGTCGAATCTTCGTCGACGGGGACACGTGCATCGGCTGGTTTGTCTGCGTCTTCGTCCAACAAGCCATATCCCAGAATAAGGGCGGTAATCATCGTTGCACATACTGCGGTCGATGTCATGGCGTTCCCAGCTAGGTCCTGCAAGTCTCGTTGAGATTCGCTTGTCAGGATGATCCGGTCCAGCGGAAGTCCCTGCAAGGAGAGAGCCTCCAGACCAGACAACGGACCTCCACGCGAAGTCACAAAGGGCATGCCAGATGGTGTCAGGCAGCCAGCGATTTTTTTTTTATTGTTACTTTTTTTACCGTGATCTACACCCTGGGAGAGATCGATCCAGCGCCTAATTCACATACATGTCAGTTGTCTGTTCACATCTAGCAGCAGTTCAGATCACTCACTCTTTATAGTTGAAGTCGATGCCCCGCGTGACTGCTTCGAGAAACTTCATATCGAGTGTTTCCCACACGCGTTCGACTTGTGAGTTAAAATAAGAGCGCCAATAAAAGTCTGGCGGCGTTCCTCCCAAAATCCCTGCCTGGGAACGGCTAATGGGCCGTTGATCTCCTATCTCCGCTTGGACGCGGAAGTCCGCGTGCCTGATCTGGTATTTTTCCCAGCTGACCTCGGCCCGACTCGAGCTGGCTTCAAGACGGGTGGCAAGATCCTTGCGAATCTGCTCAAGGCGACGGTCAGTCTCAGGCAAGAGGAACATCCCTGCAGGCGAACTAGCTTGACGAGCGAGCTGTTTCATGCAGTCCTTCAACGAAGAACCGAACTCGTTCAGGTCAACGTTTGCCGAACCGGTTGACGCGCCATCCAGGCGGTGCTTGTCGATAGCGATCAGATATCCTCTCGTACGGGTCTGAGGGATATAGTATTGTTTCGAGTCGAGAATCACGTAGGCAGCGTGGTAATCGATGTCGGCCCAAATTTCGATGAACTTGTCCCAGGGAGCTTTGCTGACGTTCTCCATGACAACCAGTCGGGGACGGTACTTGCGAGAGTACCGAAGCAGAGCATTGAAGGTGCTGCTGGACTCACCTTCTTCACTCAGAAGCTTCCGCTTGTTGTTCATCGATGAGAAATCGACGCAAGCAGTCCCAGCGATCAGGATGTCGAGATCACCGGGGATCTTTTCCAGTGACCCATAGGCTGTATGGCTGTGCACATGGTCAGTTACCGGGTTCTGGAACTCTGGGAAGAAAATAGTGTAATGAAAACTTACGCCTGGTCCTTTCCTAATTCCAGCAGATCACGGAAGAGAAGTGGTGGCTGGAAATTCCGTTCAATATAGGCTTGTTTGAATGGAACAATCTCACAACTGAAAATGTGTGAGAATTTGAAACTCTGGTCGGCACCCAGTCCTGTTATAGAAAGAATTGAAAATCAGCGACCTGTCAACAATGAAGAGGGAAGGCAAACGAAATAAACATGAGATCACATGGCTTGGTGAAGAGGAAATAGGACGTGAGATTGGGTAGGCACGCCAAATCGGGCAAGAAGCGGGTCTTTCGATGTTCCGGAATGTGGACCAGGGCCGACAATTTCGCCAAGCCCCGCCAAGCCCCGCCAAGGACCCGCTCCGAACCCGCATCGAATCCGGGGTAAAAAATAGACAAGATGAATGAAGCAACGTACCAGTTTGAAGCAGCTCCATCGCCATAATAGGGCTTTCAGTACCCGAGCAGACAGTAGCAACTCGTAGTGGCCGGTCTCCAATATGTTTCAGGACTTCCCCAAAGCCCAAAGACATGGCCTTGGCAGCGAAATCGCTGTAGATCTCTTCCAGCGAGTACATGGGGGGCAGGTTCAGGGCAAGATAACGGTTTTTCTCGTAGACCTGAGCTCGCTGAACCTCAGGGATATTGGAGGAACTGTTAGGTTTCTTGACCTGCGAGCCATCGCTGTTGGCATCGGAGGTGCTGGTTACAGGGATCTCTTCAATCTCCGGAGAAATCTCACGGGGAGGGACACAGTCGGTGTCAGACATCTTGGTCTGTTAATGTCAGCAGGTGCCATATTATCAGAGTGGACTCGATCCCTCATTCTGGAGCTTTTCATTTACTTACATCAAGCAGCTGAAGGCGTAGATGAATATCAAAGATAGGGCAAGTAGTGTCACGTGCAGAGCGGAAGCTTGGCACAGGTGGCGGAGGGCCACGTGGGTAGTACTCGGAAAAGCCTTTGATTGGTGCGGAAAAACGGGGGAAAATCCTTCGGAAGAAAGAAAGTCCGAGTTCCGGGGAGAAGGGAAGGCCGGTTTTGTTCAGCTTCCCGCCAAACTGGTCTAACCTGTTTGGTACCGGGCCTCAGCCTTCTTCTTGTGCCTTCCAATTTGAGCGCCTCCCCCAAGGTAAACAAAGAGATGGGGTTGCCGCGGCATTTTTATCTTCCTCAAAAACAAATGGTGACGGGTTTCTAGAGTTCAAGCTCTATGACCCGGAGCGACCTTGCCTTGCTATCTTATGTAGATGACCGTTGGAGCTTTAGACTGACTAGATATTACACGGTATCTCACATTCGGGGAGCTTGCAGGCAGCGTAGATTCTTTAGCATATTCACAGGACGCTACGAGCTCATGGCTATAGAAAAATCATTGTTGAGAACACCGTCCATGAATTCTCGTGTTGATCAAGTCTGAGATTCAAATGTCAAGACAATTAATTAAGCTCGGACGAAGCTATTGATATTGTCAGATTCGATCATATACGGTTTAGGTGTGCAGGTGGTTATCCGGCGGCTGGCCACAGTACTCAGCAGGAATCAGCTGGCTCAGACCAATGGAACACTACAAGAATACTACGTCCAATGCAACGGATAGTATGGTAGGGAAGCATGAATTGGGAGATGGATATAATGAATTTGTCCTTAGAGGTACAGCTATATTGAAAGCTGGTATGCAAGATAGCCCATGAAGAAAAAAGAACAAGCCCAGCCGTTGCGCCGACTTTCGCCTCGTCAGAATTATTAAAAAAAATGGAAAGGGTGAACATTGGTACAGTGACTATGCTAGACCAGAGTGATACGGGTCAGGGGACAACCCATCGCGTAGACAAAGATCCAGACGGCGGCATTCACCGCATACCACCCTGCATCAACTGCTGACGCAGTAGCATAATTTGGCTCCGCTCCATCGGAGGCAGCGCATCGATTGCTGACTGTGGCATGCTCAAGACTTGCTGGAGCAGCTCATCTTGGCCCGGTACTTGGGGCGGGGCGGCAGCTTGTGGAGGTGGAGGCGCAAAAGGACCGACAGCGACGGGTGGTGTTCCGACTTGGCCTGGCATTCCATATTGCTGGTACTGGGGGGCTGCCTGGGGAGCAGCTTGAGTCTGAGCAGTCTGCTCAACAAGAGATCCGAGAAGCTGGTAATCAACCAGATTCATGAGCAGTAGAGCCTGGAAAATGGCGTAGGCAAGCTGAGGAGCTTGGCGCAGTAGTTCAGTGGCACGAACAGGATCTGCTACAGCCAGAGACTTCATTTGTGTGAGGACATCGAGGAGCTGGTTGGGAGGGAGAGAGGCGAGGGTTTGCGAGATGGCATTGGGGCAGTCGAGATGAGGTGGAACGTCGACACCCGGGGGCAAAGGAGGAAGTGGTGCTGCTCCGGGGATTTGTTGCATTTGTGGTACAGAATCTTGCTCCATCGGCTGTGTCTGTTGAGAGTAATCGGCGGGGACGGAGTCTTTCTCATTGTTGTGCGGCCAGTCGACACGAATCTTGCGGCCCATGATTTCGTAGTCGTTCAAGTTGCGCACGGCGGAAGCTGCAGCGTCGGCGTCGGCAAAGTCTGCGAATCCATATCCCTTGGGCTTTCCAGTCTCCGGGTTCATCATCAAGCGAAACTTGGTCACAGTGCCAGCTGTGCTGAGGATGTCTTTGACCTGCTCCTCGGTGAGATCTGAGTGAATGATTAGCTTTGCATGACGAGCCTCATTTCACATTAGAGCCATATACATACTATAGGGGATGTTCCCCAGGAACACGCTCTTTCCTGACCGGTCGGGGGCCATGATTGCGATAGCTGTGAAGCGGTTGAAGAGGCGTTGTCGAAAGTCAGAGCTCAAAGCTGTGGACGAAAGAGCGCGAGAGATGATCCACGGTTCTGCCCGACTTTAAGCTTGACCGCCTACCACTCGACCTTCTTCGGACTCCCGTCTTCATCCATCTCATCTTCATACCTCTACAAACAGCCTCACAACATGTCGCAGAATCAACGAGAGGCCTGGGAGCGAGTGCAGCTCATGCTGCAAAGACGTAAGGGTGGTTTTGGTGGGATTCCTGGTGGTGGCCGTGGTGGCGGCATGGGTCTTGCTGGTTTGGTCTTGCTCGGCGTGGGCAGCTGGGCCATCTCGAACTCACTTTTCAACGGTATGCTATCTACTCATGGGTCTACTTACGATCTCAATTTAATTTTCTTGTTTAGTTGATGGTGGTCACCGTGCTATCAAGTACTCTCGATTCAGTGGTGTGAAGAAGGAGATCTACACTGAAGGTATGACATATTCGCTGATGGAGCAGCACGAGCTCGGAACTAATCCCCCGGTTACTCCTACAGGAACTCATTTCCAGATTCCCTGGGTTGAGACCCCCATTATCTACGATGTCCGCGCGAAGCCGCGCAACATTGCGTCCTTGACCGGTACCAAGGATTTGCAGATGGTCAACATCACCTGCCGTGTCCTTTCCCGTCCTCGAATCGACGCCTTGCCGCAGATCTACCGAACCCTTGGTCAGGACTTTGACGAGCGTGTTCTGCCCTCGATTGTGAATGAGGTTCTGAAGAGCGTTGTTGCCCAGTTCAACGCCAGCCAGCTGATCACCCAGCGTGAGAACGTTGCCCGTCTGGTTCGGGAGAACCTGGCCCGCCGTGCCGCGCGCTTCAACATTGCTCTTGACGATGTTTCATTGACGGTAAGCACGCATATTTTTCCAAGTTGAAACGATCTCGCGTCCAGGCTAACACTTATTTCTATTTAGCACTTGACCTTCTCCCCCGAGTTCACCGCCGCCGTCGAAGCCAAGCAGGTTGCCCAGCAGGACGCCCAGCGTGCCGCATTCGTTGTTGATAAGGCCCGTCAGGAGAAGCAGGCTTTCATCGTGCGCGCCCAGGGTGAGGCTCGCTCGGCCGAGCTGATTGGTGACGCAATCAAGAAGAGCAGGAGTTACATCGAGCTGCGGAAGATTGAAAACGCCCGCCAGATTGCGCAAATCCTGCAGGAGAACGGTGGCAAGAACAAGCTGTACCTGGATACCCAGGGCTTGGGTCTGAACGTCAACGCGAGTAGCGAGGATGTCAAATAAACTACGTTAATTGGGGCGCACGGGTAGTGGAATCATGTACAAATAGCTTATTTAGTCGCATCAAAACGCGGTCTCTTCTCTTCCAAGACTTTCCCTCTGCACGATAGCAAAATATCGAAGTATCTCATGTTTGCCTAGGTTGGCGTGTGTTAACTACAACCAGCATGTTGCACAGAGCTCCCTCGGCGAAGATATATTTTCAGCGCGGGGACGAAGGCGGCGAGCGGAGACTCCACCCACTTTTTTTTTTGAGCTTCCGCCACTTTCAGATTCTAGAGTCGATCGATCTAGGAATCGAGTTGCCTTGGTAAGTATATTCTTATTGAGAGACAGAGTACAAGCAATTATCAGCTCAATGCTACGTCCGATCTGTTCTACGACTAACAAATCTCTAGAAACCCCGCCAAAATGACCGACCCCACCACCAACGACCCTCAAATCCATCTTACAGAGATCGACGTCGACCTGGACGTGCAAGAGATCCTACTTGCAGCCTCACAGCACAATAATGCCAAACTTCGACGTCTCTGCCGCACACAATCCTCAGTGCCTGATGCGGCGAACGTGAAAGATCCCGAGACAGGCTACTCACCCCTCCATGCGGCCATTGCGGCATGCGAGCCGGACGAAGACGAGAAAACGAACGGCGAGGCTCAATCTGCTGATAAGGAGCTGTTGGAGTCTGCTGTAGAGACGGTCAGGTTCTTGTTGCAGGAGGGTGCGATCTGGAATGACCTCGACAACAAGAATGAGACGCCTGGTTGTTTGGCGCGGCGCATTGGGGCGTTGGAGCTCTATGAGTTGATCGTTGATGCCGGCGTCCGCGCAGAGATGCTACTGAACCGGTTGGATGAGTACGCGGCGCTATCAGACGGCGATGATGAGGATGAGGACGAAGAGGAGGGCGAGGCGGAAGAGTCCACCGAGGACAAGGCGGAGGATGAGACAGCACCCGAGCTTGTTGAAGTCGCTACAGAACAACCCGTCGAGTCTACAATAAACCCCAATGTCAACAATCGGGGCTACCTCTCATCTACCCTCTCCATCAACAACGACCGGATCCTCGACTCGGACCAAAACGGTGTCATGATGCGCTGGGAAAGCGACATCATGCTTAAATCCGCCAAAGCCCTTCTCCCTCGGCCGGGTCTCAAAGTCCTCAACATTGGACACGGCATGGGTATCGTGGACGGCTTCTTCCAAGATCAATCCCCCGCCGAACATCATATCATCGAAGCGCACCCCTCGGTGCTGGCCGACATGAAAGCAAAGGGTTGGGACACCAAGCCCGGCGTGACCATCCACGAGGGCCGTTGGCAAGATGTTCTTCCCGGCCTTGTGGGCGAGGGTGTGACATTTGATGCGATCTACTACGATACATTTGCCGAGTCGTATGCCGATTTCCGGGACTTCTTCTCCGAGCAGGTCATCGGGTTGTTAGAGCAGGATGGCAAATGGGGATTCTTCAATGGGATGGGTGCTGATCGGCAGATCTCGTATGATGTGTATCAGAAGGTTGCGGAGATGGACCTTTTCGAAGCTGGATTCGATGTTGAGTGGGAGGAGATTCCGGTGCCCAAGTTGGAGGGCGAGTGGGATGGTGTGCGACGGGCGTATTGGGTTGTTGATAGCTACCGTCTGCCGCTTTGTCGCTTTATGGACTAAGCAATATACAGGCTGCTCAAGATGTTGTACATGGCATGGATAATGAATGAATTGAACGCTATGACAGGCATAGGAGTGTTGTCAACCACGGAAACTCGGCAGAGCGGCCCGACCCCTGTTCACCCCGGATTCCGTTGGATCCCATTGCAGAGAAGTCCTGTAGGTACAGTACAGACACTGGACAGCACGAGATGGAAGAAATTAGTTGTCCTGAATGCCTGGCGAGAACAGAGACCTGACGTTCTTTAAGCCCATGGCACGAGGTACTACAAGAGTCGAGGCGGCTTCGGCGGCTATGGCCGTGGCTGTGCATGACAATGTCCTATGCTCAGCTGGATCTGCCAAAGCCGCTTTGTCCTCTCGATTCAGCCCAAGCGCCCTCATCGGCAGCACACGTCGACAGTAATTTGGGGATATGCCTACAAGTGTTTGGCAAATTCAAGTCGTCGAACCCCCCTTGACACTTCTCCCGACAACCACCGATACTTAGCGAGGCCGCATATGGGTTCGCCTGCCGAAGGCGCTGTGCTTTCCCGAATACACGATACCGGACGGACGTCACACGACTGGGCGCATGGGTCAAGAAGCATATCTCGCAGAGATGTCATTCTTCAATGATAGAAAGAGATGTCGAGACGAACCCAATACCGACGATGATAGCTCGACGCCCAGTACATCAAAGAGACGGAGGCCAGACGAGGACTTTGACAGTGACGATAGAGGATACCAGAAAGACCGCATTCCGGGCACGTTCTCACATGAGGACTACACAGTTGGCTGGATCTGCGCGCTCCCTATCGAGATGGCCGCGGCAAAAGCGATGTTGGACAATGTTCACGAGGAGCTTCCACATGATCGAAATGACCCCAACACGTATATCTTGGGGAATATTGTCCTGCATAACATTATCATTGCGTGTCTGCCGTCGAGCCATTATGGTACAAACAACGCGGCGACCGTGGCGAGCGACATGCGCCGCAGCTTCCCTTCTATTCGCGAAGGCCTGATAGTCGGCATCGGTGGGGGGCTCCCCGGAAAAGCCGACATCCGACTCGGCGATGTTGTGGTCGGCGATAAAGGAGTGGTGCAATTTGACATCGGCAAAGAGGTTGGAGAGAGTCAACTAAAACGAACAGGTACTCTGAACAAACCTCCACATGCGCTCCTGACAGCCGTCGCCAAATTGCGAGCCGAGCATGTATCAAAACCCAGCCAAATACCGTCTATCCTTTCAAAGATGCATGAAAAGTGCCCTCAAATGACTGAATACACCCACCGCGGATCACTGCAAGATCGTTTATTTGATGGTACATATGACCACGTTCGGCCGACGGAGGGCTGCGAGCATTGCGACACATCCAGGTTGGTGAACAGACCCGCCAGACGCAACGCCAATCCGGAGATCCATTACGGAGCCATCGCCTCTGGAAATCAAGTCATGAAGCACGGAAGGACCAGGGACCAGCTGGCGCAAGAACTCGGTGTCATATGCTTCGAGATGGAAGCGGCAGGAGTAATGAATAGCTTCCCGTGCCTGGTCATCCGCGGAATTTGCGACTATTCAGACTCTCACAAGAACAAGCAATGGCAAGAGTATGCAGCAGCTACGGCTGCGGCATATGCAAAAGAGCTTCTCTCCGTCATACCTACTAATGGGGTCAAGAAGATGTCAAAGGTCCTTTCAGCTGACCCAGGTGGATATTTTCTAATTCTGCTTCTAAGTCATATCTCGCTTACGTCTACTTCTAGATCGCCAAAAGCATCTCTTGAAGTCTCTGAAGTTTGAGCAAATTGATGCTCGCCGTGCAGGCATCAAGCCCAATCATGGAGAGACATGCCGGTGGCTGTTGAAACATTCCGATTATCTGGACTGGCTCGATCCGGAAAAAGCCGCGGAGCACCACGGCTTTCTATGGATAAAAGGGAAACCCGGAGCTGGGAAGTCAACGATCATGAATTTTGCCTATACACAAGCGATGAAAGCCAAAGCGGGCACAGTCATTTCGTTCTTCTTCAACGCAAGAGGCGATATTTTAGAGAGGTCGACTGCTGGGATGTATCGTTCTCTACTTTTTCAGCTCCTGAATGCGCTACCAAGGCTCACCGAGGTATTCAATGGGTCAGAACACAAGAATATGGTCGACGAATTGTACGAGACTATCATGAATCAGAGCGCAAATCCTGAGTGGCAAGTAGGGGTACTCCAGGGCTTGCTGCGGAGTGCAATAGCGATGATCGATCAACAACCTTTGATGATCTTTGTTGACGCTCTTGATGAGTGTGAAATGGAGCAAGTGGAGGAGATGGTGGAGTTTTTTGAGGACTCCGGAAAGTCCGCTGTCTCAAGCGGATCACAACTGAAGATATGTTTTTCTAGTCGCCATTATCCACATATCGACATCCAGTACGGCCGAAAATTGAGCCTGGAACTTCAGGAGGGACACGAAAAGGACATTGCCACTTACATCCAAAGCAAGCTCAGAGTTGGGAAAAGCAAAACTGCCGAGGAAATCAAAACCAAGATGCGAAACAAAGCAGGCGGCATCTTCATGTGGGTTGTTCTAGTGACTGGTATTCTCAACTCTGAATATAAAGGTGGCCGCATTTTCGATGTGAGGAAGCGCCTTGATGCGATACCAACCAAGTTGAGCGACCTCTTCAGGGAGATCCTATGGAGGGATCAGAAAAACCTGAGAGATCTGCAGCTTTGCATTCAATGGATTATTTTTGCGAAACGTCCGTTGAAGCTGGAAGAGTACTACTTCGCAGCCGTATCTGGATTGAGTCCGGATGAATTGTGCGAATGGGACCCGGAGGATATCACCAGAGAAGACATGAGCAGATTTGTCCTTAGTTCTTCGAAGGGACTTGCAGAGACAACCAAGTCCAAGAGTCCGACAGTTCAGTTCATCCACGAGTCAGTGCGGGAGTTCTTCCTGAAAGATGGCCTGCAGGAGTTGTGGCCCGACCTCATAGCAGACTTTCAAAGTTTTAGCCATCTTCAATTACAGCAGTGTTGTCAAGCATATCTCAAGCTCGATATCTCCGCCTATGTGCCCTTCGGAACGCCCCTCCCCAAGGCATCCTCTGATCCAGCAAAAAATCTGCGAAGCTCAGTTTTAGACAAGTTTCCGTTCCTTGAATACGCAACTCGCCATGTTCTCTTTCACGCCAATGCTGCTGCGAATGGATTTCCACAGAATGAGTTCCTGGAAACCTTTGAGCTCGGCCCTTGGATTCATCTCGATAACCTCTTCCAAATATATGATATCCGCCGCCACACGCCATATGCAAGTCTTGTGTACATTCTGGCGGAGAACAATCTGGCAAATCTGATTAGCACAGCACTACTCTTCGACTCGAGAATCGATTTTCAAGGGGAACGACATGATTATCCTCTTTTCGCTGCCTTGGCTAATGGCCATAAAGATGCCGTCAGAGCACTCTTACAGAATGAGGCAAGCTGTCCCGAAGACGACATCTCTGCGCCGTTGGAGTATGGGAATGCTTTAACGTATCACAAGAGTCAAACGCCACTATCATGGGCCGCCCAGCATGGGCACGAATCCGTTGTCAGGCAATTACTCACTAGAGATGGAGTCGACGTTAACACGAGGGATAAAATCAATTACACGCCGCTATTGTGGGCTGCCAAGAATGGACACGTTGCCGTCGTAGAGCAGTTACTCAGTCGAGGCGAGGTCGATGTTAATCCGAAGGATGTACATGGCCTGACACCGCTATCGTTGGCTGTTGCGAACGGGCATGAATCTGTCGTTGACCTTTTACTCGCCACAGACGCTATCGACGTCGAGATAAAGGACAGCTTTAACCAGACACCGCTATTGTTGGCCGCCCGGAATGGGTACGAGGCTATCGTTAAGCAATTGCTCGCCCGACACGGTATCGACGTCGATAGTCAGGACAGCTTCGGCCAGACAACGCTATGGTGGGCCGCCCGGCGTGGGCACGAGAGTATGGCCAAGCTATTGCTCGACACGGGTAAGGTCGAAGTCAACGCGAAAGATGATGACAGCCAGACGCCGCTGCTGTGCGCCGCCATGGAAGGGTACGAGGCTGTGGTTAAGCTATTGCTTGACACAGGCAAGGCCGATGTCAACGCAAAGGATAAATATGGGCGGGCGCCGCTATCATGGGCAGCCCGGGAGGGTCGCGAGGCCATCGTTAAGCAACTACTCGCTAGAAACGATGTCAACGTCTCCATCAAGGATAGATATGGCCAGACACCACTCTCGCTGGCTGCCGCACAAGGGCACAAATCTATCGTGGAGCAGTTACTCGCCACAGACACTGTCGATATCAACATGAAGGATGGTAGCTATAGCCGGACGCCGCTATCTTTGGCTGCCGTGAAAGGACACGAATCTGTAGTTGAGCACTTACTCACCAGAGACAATATCGACGTCGACACGAGCGACAGCTATGGCCTAACGCCGCTTTCGTTAGCTGCCGCGAACGGGCGCACATCCGTCGTTGAGCAGTTACTCGCTAGAGACGATGTAGACGTCAACGCGAAGGATAGCCGCTATGGTCGGACACCCCTCTCTTTAGCTGCCGAGAATGGTTATGAAACCGTGGTTAAGCAGTTACTTGCTAAAGATAGTGTCGACGTCGACACGAAGGATAGCTTTGACCGGACACCACTATCGTGGGCCGCCGAGAACGGACATGAATCTGTCGTTAAGCAATTACTCGCCAGAGACGGTGTCAACGTCGACGCGAAGGATAGATATGGCCAAACACCGCTATCGTGGGCCGCCGAAAACGGGCACGGAAAAGTGGTTCAGCTATTAGTCGATAATGGCAAGACCGATATTAACGCGAGAGAAAATCATGGTCGGACGCCGCTGCTTTGGGCCGCTATGAAAGGGCATGAAACTGTGGTGAAGCTATTACTCGACACGGGCAAGGCTGATATTAACGCGAAGGATAACGACGGCCAAACGCCGCTGCTGTGGGCCGCTAAGAACCGGCATAAGGCTGTGCGCAGGCTGCTTCAATCAACGAAATAGCATGCCTATATCTATGGCGCTAGCTCATTTGCGGTGGGCTTCAGATCTTATTTGAGACTTGTAAAAAGATACAGGCTTCGGATCGGGGTAAGCTTGTAGATTAGTCTAAGTACAGGATGATCCCTGACCCATTTCACTCTACTCAAGGAATATAAGCGGCGAGAGGATGAGCCTTAAAATAGAAGGGAACAACCCAAAGTTGCGAGACATTATCCGGTATATGCTGTATGTCGAACGCTCAGAAAATAGCTATGCAAAGGCAAACAAAGGGGAAAAAAAGAACTGCTAGCATGTCAAAGGCTAACACTGAACGCTCTGGAAAAAGAGTTGTATCTTTTTACAGTTGAATCAGATCCACCTCAGAGAAATCCGGTGGGCTGCGGCTAAAGATCGTTCGGCACTTGCCATCAAGTGCTTGGTACTCGTTACTGATCCAGATATGCTTGCTGAACCGCTGTGTGCGGTAGACTTCGTCATCACTGATGCCAAGGTCATCTCGTGGAATCCAAATCACGGGCCGCTTAGCGCGGAGAGCTTCGTGTTGGAAAGCTCGTTGTGTCAGCTGATCACGCTCATCTGGGGTGAGATCTTCCAGTTCGTCGTGAATACCCGCAAAGAGGGCATGACCCACGTTGTTGGTGGCTGGCCCTTGTGCTTCGGTATCGTGAACCATCTTCTCACGGAGGGCCTTGATAGTCGGACTTGGACCGGCTGAGTTCTCCCCGAAGAACTTCGACCGCCTATTGGGTGAGCGGTCGGCCCAGGATGGTCGTTTCATGCCAAGTTTAGGTGTTGTTAGGAGACCCGAGTCATGACGCTTTCGTCCCTCACGATCTGCCTCTAGCGCCTTCAGTTCAATGTCATGTGCGTCTTGGTCCCGATGATGTTCTTTGCGCTCCCGATTGGCGAGACGATGCTCAATATCACCGTCCCCGTCCTCGTCCCCGTCCTCGGCGTCAATGCCTAGACCGAGTCGGGCTAGCAGAGCACGGTGGAACTCCTCATCACGGCGAACAGCAGCATCTTCGAGTGTAATCGGTAGATAACGCAGAAGTGGACCAAACGCCTCATTGAGAAGGATTTGGAAGCCAATGGTCATGATAAGAACGACGATCATGATAATAGCTTGACCCTTACAGGCCACTGATCCCTGCGTATCTCGCACGAGGAAGAAAAGACCGATCAGGCACACCTCCATGAAATACAATCCGGTAAACAGCTGGTTGACCGCACGCGGGAAGAGGAGACCACCGGTATCAAACCGGAATTTGGTCACATATAGTGTGTTGTAGCGATAGACAAACCAGAAAAGGCTGAATGTGATGATGTTAAACACCATGATGAGTGGTGCAACAACACAGTAGATCAGACCTGGGCAGAGAGAAAAGTTTAGTAAAGGACTTCAATAATTTGTGAAAGTAAGAGGGTGTTTTACATACCGATTGAAGCTAAGGTGGTGTAGACGGGGAAGAATGTACCCCAATGCATTTGGTTCAAATTTGTTGTGCGAGCCCACTTCTTCCTCGCGGTGGAGTCCATGATTGGGGCGAGAATGAACCAGCTGATAAGGCCGAAGATCTGCACCAGAGCACCGGCACTCACAGACATGGCTTGCAGAATCATGTAGGAGAAGAAGTAGTTACTCGACCTGGGAATGTTCGTGGCAAGTAGCTCGGGCCAGCTGCTCACGTCCGTGACATTATCAATGATGGTCGAGAAACTGGAGGCAATAGTGACGACCAGAAACAGTTGCACAAACAGGAACGCAAAGTAGTAGTTCTGGACGGTCAACTCAATAGCCATACCGGTGTGCAGGCCTTGAGTCTTGCACAGGAAACGGAGAATCAGGGGCAAAAGAGCCATGAGAATGGCCAAACAAAGTGCGGGTAGAATACCTTGAATGGCAGAGATCAACCACGCAGGCAGCTTATTGAGCCAAGAAAGCCACGTGAAGGCTCCCTCGAGGTAGGACAGTTGCGATAGAAGTCCAGTGAAGGCAACGGGGAACGCCCATCCAATCACCATGCCGATGACAAGAGTAACGATGCCAAAGGTGCGGAGATAGCGTTCCCACCATTTCATGGACATATTATCCCAGATCACGTCGTCTGGGGAAATTTCCACAATTCGAGGGGCCATCTGCTTTGGCACATGGTGCGCGACGGATTGACAAGCCATATGTGCCGCAACCTGGTGATTGAATTGAATAAATGCAGAATTCATCAGCGGGAATCGCTCCGGGTGCTGTTGATCAATCTCGATTTCAAGATTTAATCGCGCAAGTTCCTTCCGACAGTAGTCAATGGTATCAACTTTCTTGCCGAGAAGCCACAGCGAAGGCATCCACTTCCAACCAAAGATGGGTAGACGGTGGGTATCTCTGTCTTTTTGTCGAACGTATTGCTCCCATAGTGGCTCTCCATAGTCTTCATTATCGAAATCCTCATTGTAAGCGACGGGATATTCTTCTCCTTCGATCTCGTCTCCCTCCTTATGGCTTTTACGCCGGTCTCCAAGATCATTGCGTGCAGTGGACTTTGCTGTTGCATCATGAGTCGTATCAGCCACAGGAGAACCAGGACCAGTCAGAGGGTACTCATCGGGCTCCGGGCCAGATTTTTTGGATTGGGTAGTCAGGTGAGATGACATGCGATCCTTCCAAGACGGGCGCTTCTGGGGGGTGGGCCTTGTATCTTGGCACATGCTGCCACTCTGGCCTTCTTCGGGTGTTCGTGGCTTTGTGGTTGACTCAACAGATCCCAAAGGTAGGTCATCGGTGGGCACATCACCTCCAAATGCAGGAGGGCTTCTTCCACGAGGCGGCAGGCCGTTGTCGGTCGTCTCCACAAAGCCACCATTACGGCTCAATGTGTTGTCAAACCCAACCTCTACCTTCTTCAGGCCGCCTTTGACCGTTTTCCCTAGCTTCCCCACGCCGTGCCCAACCAGGCCAGCTGCCATAAGCGCCGGATCAAAGACTCCTCCACCAGTGCGTGAGCCATCGGATTCACCACGCTTATGCGTCTCGGGGTGTCGATGCAAAACCTCGCGCAATGTGTGGGCTTGATGAGGGTCGCCAGAGCTGATTCCAGGTCCCATGGCCATTTCGGTAGCTCTTTGGTCGGTTGCGGCTTTTTCTTGGTCTGCAATCTCCTTTTTACTTTTTCCGGTTTTCTTCGCCTCGGCCTTGGCTTTCTTCAAGGCGGCTTTCTTGCATTTTGCGATCAAACCTGTTTCGGCAGCCTCGAGCTTGAGTGCAATCTTGTTTCGCTCCTTGACCTTTTCATTCAACTCGTCAAAGTTGCGGTTGATCCATATGTTCCGAATACCACCAGGGAACACATCAAACAAATTGTCCAGTGACTCGACGTTCAGCCAACTGTGGGGGATAGCTGTCACGAGCACGGTCGTTGCAGAAGCGCGTAGTCGATGTTGTGGGGATGTCATGTAGGCTTGACGCATACGGATGTAACCACGCAGCTCGTCGAAGAATATGGCGCAGACATAGAAAATCATAATCACCGCCAGAACACAGTGGGCCCAGTAGCGGCTGGTATGCTCAGGTTTCACGTTGCCCCAGGCCAGTTGATCTAAGCCACTGACATTCCATCGTGAGCCCGAATCAGTACTATTTTGGAACGTCGTCCCTTTTCCTCCCACGCGGTTGATCGGCAATAGTACTGGCAAGATCAGAAGGCCCATAGGAATGAAAATTTTGAGGAGCATGCGTAGGTAGCGAAGGAAGAAATAGGCATCCAGTCCACATTTTTGGATAAATTCTGAGCTGGATGTTCGAAAAACTGGGCCGACCCAGCGAAAGAGGCCTGGCGGGGATGGTTCGGTGCGCTCTCGGTCTGGGACTAGATAGGTTCGTGGTTGGCTAAAAACAAGAAGATCAGCTTTGTTCTCTCCTTGCGAACATTCTTTATGTTCTGGGGAGTCACTCACTAGATGCGGGTTAATTTGCTTTTAAGTAGCAGGAATAGTAGGAACTCGACTGCAAAGACAATCATGGCCGTCGCCAGCGAGGCCAAGAAGCTCTTGAGCGAGACACCCTCCTCCGAGCTGCCATTGCCGCCAGTATGCGACAACGCCTCCTCAAGGGTCGAGGTCATGGTGATCAACAGTCAATCCGGCGTAGAGTGCTTGAGATGTGACGAAGACGATCAGATCTTGGATTCAAGATCGACGTTCCCCGAGAGGCCCACGTTGGAGATTCGATCTCCCTCGCACAAATTTATTCGCTTGGTCTGATCAAATGGCGTCGGTAGGAATAGTGAGGGGGTAGCGCATGGCCGGTCAGGTGTGGACAGTGAAGTGAAGAGTGAATCTCTCAACGAGAAGAAATGGGGTTTCAAAAGAGAGACGAACAACAAAGACGATCGGCGGCGGGACTGCCCTACGAGTCTGCGACTCCTCGCTATCCACTAATTAGTTCTTCGTAGTTGTACCCACCACAAACAAGACCAGCTTTGGAAACGTCACAATAATGACAACAGTGGCTGGTGTTTGAGTTGGCGCCCACGGACCTGATAGCTCCCCCGCGATAGAGCAAAAACAGGGATGATTGGAGGGATCCTGGAAATGCCGATCGGCCTGTAGGATGACATCAGGCGTCTGCTGAAACAGCCAAGTAAATCTCGGCGGCTTCAGAGAAAGTGTGGGAACCGCAAGCGACAGCACGCTTTGGAAGTTGCAGACTTGAGACTTGAAGAATACCGTAGCCTGCACGAATCTGGAAAGGCATTGGATTGCGCCTGCGACTGCTAAGTAGTTCCAACAACGCAACTGCGAAGCGGCCAAAGAAAGGCCCAAAAGGGGACCAAAAGGGGACCAACGGGTCCAAAAGGGGAAAGAAGTGGAGTCAGAGCACGAAGTAACTGGGAAAGTGGCTGTGCAATCATGCAGAGACATTTCGAACCATCCAATCAGGACTCAGTGTGGCTCAGGCACACCCCTTTTCCCGTTCGTCGTCACGTGTGAAACCCTATCTGAATCACATGACCCTCTCGTCGCCCATGGCTCTCTTGATGATCATGTGATCTATACCCAGGCGACGCGCCATCCCAAAAAGGAAACCACTTAACGCGTGCTCGCGTCTTTGCACGCGTCCCGCCGAAAAAAGAGCTTTTGCTCTCCCTTTCTCCAAACACTCGAAACTCCGTCCGGTCATCTCCACCACAATCATTTCAACCCCCGCCCTCCTGACCACCACACAAAAATCACACACACAGGCATCATGTCTTCACCGGCTACTCGGAGGACTCGTGCCTCTAACAAATCATCCACACCATCAAGGTCGTCCCGGGAACCCCCCAGCAGCCCAACGATGAGAGAATCTACCCCCCGTGCCGCCCGAGCCCTTGCCGCCGAGCGCAACATCCCATCATCTTCACCAGCAGCCTATCAGTCTTCTCCTATGAGGCAGCGGAGTACAGAGACACCAGACGTTCGAATGGGCGACGCAAGCTCACAGATTGATGATGGCGATAGGACTCCTCGGGCGAACCAAGGAGTTAGAGGTATGCGATACAATTTTTCTTCGCTCTATCTGCCCGGTCACACTTGCAACCAATAGTTCCCCCAGACATTGACAATAAGCCAGATTCTTCTCCTATCAGTTATATTGCCAGCTCCAGTCCTGCCCGTGGTCTGGGTCGATCCGATATCCGCTCTGACATTCGCTCTGATGCCCTGAGCACCAGTAGTGGACTGTTCGTCTCCCCTAGCGGCGGCCGCCGAGGACCTCGTCGCAGTGACCTTCACTCTAGTGGCCTCAACTCGACCCCTGCTCGTCGGAATCGCATGTTCGTTGGTCCCAATGGCATGCCCGCTGGAGACGATGCCCCTCGGTCTGATGCGACCTTCTCCAACATCAACCCTGGCACCTCCGAGGCCGAAGCCATGGCGGGTAACTCTACTCGCGTGATCTGGGGTACCAATGTCTCGATCCATGATTCCATGTCCGCATTCAAGAATTTCCTGTACAACTTTGCCACGAAATATCGCCTTTGGGCCGACGGTGCGTCGGACAACGAGGTTCGCGTCATGGGTGATGCGGCGGAGAAGCGCGAATATATTACTATGATGAACGACATGCGCCGACTTGGGTTGACGACTTTCAACCTTGATTGCAAGAATCTGAAGGCCTATCCTCTCACACAGAAGCTGTGGCACCAGCTGCTCGCCTACCCGCAAGAAATCGTGCCTTTGATGGATCAGGCTGTCAAGGACGTCATGGTCGATCTGGCTTTGAAGGAGATGGATGTGTTGCGGTCCGAGATTCAGCGTGGCGGCCAGGCTCGCGACCGTCGCGGCCAGTCGATATTGACCTCGGATGGTGTTGGACCCGCCGCTGATGTGCCCGATCTGGTCCAAGAAGTCGAGACCGTCAACTACAAGGTCCTGCCGTTTGGCCTGGACCAGAGCATCAATATGAGAGATTTGGATCCTGCTGGTAAGTCATATCACTTTTCTTTCTGACTTGATGATTTCTAACCGATTATAGATATGGACAAGCTGGTCAGCATCAAGGGCTTGGTCATTCGTACTACTCCTATCATTCCCGACATGAAAGATGGTATGTCATTGATGTTGCTTCCAGCTAGATTACTCATGCTAACCCGTTGTAGCATTCTTCCGCTGCAGCGTCTGCAGTTACGGAGTCACTGTCGAGATTGACCGTGGCAGAATTGCCGAGCCCACTACCTGTCTTCGCGACTCTTGCAAGTCGCAAAACTCCATGCAGCTCATTCACAACCGCTGCAACTTCTCTGACAAGCAGGTCATCAAGCTTCAAGAAACCCCCGATAACGTTCCTGACGGTCAAACACCTCACTCCGTGTCTCTGTGTGTCTACGATGAGTTGGTTGATGTCTGCAAGGCCGGTGATCGCGTTGAGGTATCGGGTATTTTCCGTTGCAACCCGATGCGCGTTAGTGCTCGTCAACGCTCGCAGAAGGCTCTCTTCAAGACCTACATTGACGTCCTGCACGTGCAGAAGGTTGACCGCAAGAAGATGGGTATTGACGTGTCCACCATTGAGCAAGAGATGTCCGAGCAAGCCGCCGAGGCCGATCAGGCGCGCAAGATCTCAGCCGAGGAGGAGGAAAAGATTCGCCGCACTGCCTCTCGTCCCGACATCTACGAGTTGCTGTCCCGGTCGTTGGCCCCTAGTATCTACGAGGCGGACGATGTGAAGAAGGGTATTCTGCTGCAGATGTTTGGTGGTACCAACAAGACCTTCCAGAAGGGTGGTAACCCCCGCTACCGTGGTGACATTAACATTCTGCTTTGCGGTGACCCTTCGACCGCCAAGTCTCAACTTTTGCGCTACGTGCACAAGATCGCTCCCCGAGGTGTCTACACCAGTGGTAAGGGTTCTTCGGCCGTCGGTTTGACTGCCTATATCACCCGCGATCCCGAGACCAAGCAGATGGTTCTCGAGTCTGGTGCACTTGTTTTGTCTGATGGCGGTACTTGCTGCATTGACGAGTTTGATAAGATGAACGAAGCCACTCGGTCCGTCCTTCACGAAGTCATGGAGCAGCAGACTGTGTCCATCGCCAAGGCTGGTATCATCACCACCCTCAACGCTCGAACTTCTATTCTGGCGTCTGCCAACCCCATCGGCAGTCGCTACAACCCTAAGCTTCCCGTTCCCCAGAATATCGACCTCCCCCCGACTCTACTTTCTCGTTTCGATCTTGTGTACCTGGTTCTGGATCGCGTTGACGAGACGGAGGATCGCCGTCTGGCCAAACACTTGGTTGGCATGTATCTGGAGGATACTCCCGAGAACGCTGCCTCCGAGGAGGTACTGGTAAGTCCTGCAGCCTAACCGAACCATCCATGCTCTTTCGTTGTAATTCGCGCTAACATCCTTTCTTAGCCCATCGAATTCCTTACAGCCTACATCACCTACGCCAAGACCCGAGTTCACCCCGTCATCACCCCAGAAGCCGGTGCCGCCCTGTCCGACGCCTATGTTGCCATGCGTCAGCTCGGTGATGACATTCGCGCCTCCGAGCGCCGCATCACCGCCACAACCCGACAACTGGAATCCATGATCCGTCTGTCGGAAGCACACGCACGCATGCGCCTCTCCCCAGAAGTCACCGCTAGCGATGTCGAAGAAGCCGTTCGCCTGATCCGCTCTGCCATCAAGCAAGCCGCCACGGACGCGCGCACTGGTCTGATCGATATGGGCCTGTTGACCGAGGGTACTAGTGCCAGTGAGCGCCGTCTGCGTGAGGATCTGAAGCGGGCTGTGCTGGCGCGGCTCGAGGAGCGTGGCGGCGTGGCTGGCACGGCCGTGCGTTGGGGTGATCTGTTCCGCGACATGAGCGAGTCCAGTGATGTTGCGCTGGACCACCACCAGTTCGGTGATGCGGTACGCTCACTCGAGGCCGAGGGTGCCGTGCACGTCTCGGGCGAGGGAGCTCGACGGAGTATCCGTCGGTCAGCTACGGGTCTGTCGTAGTGAATGATGGGGGATGAGTTTTGATCATGACGTGATTGCGTACGGCTCATTTTCTACTCATGATTCAATTCATTTCATGTTTTTTTTGTTGTTTTCTTTCTTTCATACGATGCAATGATCGACCGAGCTGCATATTGAGCTCAGGGCCATAGGGTGTTTGTGTTTCGAGGGAGGGCGTTTGGCTGTGTACTTTGTAACATTCTACGAGGAGATACATATACATTTCTTATAATAAACTCCCATACAGCTTCCACTTGAGTATTATCTCGGTTTCCTAATGTAGATGTCAATCGGCACCTTCCGACAGAGTGTTCCCGTGTCGCGTGAGGGCCTTCCGTTTCCGGCTCGGTGGATGTGGATCGGCACTTCCCACTCCCTCGAGTTTAGCCGAGATATAGGCGCAAGCAGCCAACTTGCAGCATACGTACGAAAGATATTTGGTTCTTGTGTAAATACTATTCCACTATTCTACAATATGTAGGGGGGGGTAGTACCTAACCGTGATTATATACATATTTTTTGATGAGCTCTGGTCCATGATGATGTATTACAAGTATATGTCTCCCTGTGCGATGGGTTTGTGAGGGCCTCTTCCACGTTCATTTCAGATTTTCGGTCTAGGCTGTTGGGTAAAATACAAGAGAGTAGTGGGCCTCGGGCTAGACCGAGGGCCCCCAGTTTGCCGCCTCGCTTGGAATGGGGTGATTAGCCTGGCCGTTACAGTACTCCGTAGTGGTGGCGGAATTGTTTGTGCAGGGCTGAGTACTTTTGGAGATACAGTCAGAAATTAGGGTTGAAGGGTAACGTCTTTCTCTAGGTGGTACGATGGTTCTCATATTTCTATATCTGAATGTTAATCAGACGATAGATGGTCTTTTGTCTAAGAACTGAATTAGCAAAGAAAAAACCAACTGTCACCTCCACGTCCAAACACAAGCAGTCCCACATACGGAGCGGTCTCCCCGCCAGTGGATCGGAGCAAACGGGGAGCGACGGCCTTGCCCCGAGCTTGGGCTTACACACACGTATGAGAGGGCTCCGAGGATGAGTGATTCGTCATGTTGGCATTTGATTATTTCATGGGTCCTGATCGGGTTCCTAATACAACTCTGGGGGTGAGATGCTAGGGTGCTGGGATCGCCCTCTGTCTCTACAATGTATGTACTATACCCTAATGGGTGATGCACACAGTTACACACTTTCCCTCGTCAATGATGTCAAGTCTGCAAGTCCCGTCGGACACAGTGCAATGATCGAAATGATTTCGGTTGATTTCTCCCTTGTCTCTCTCGTACAGGAGGTTAGCCTACAGACTAGCGTGCAGCTGGGCGGATTTGTTTCATTCTTAGTTTGTTTCGTTTGGGACGGGGCCAGCACGTGCGGATCTCGTGACGTTGACTGGTCAGCCCAGATGCTGAGTCATCTTCATAGTTGCACCTCCAGGTCATTCACAACCAATCAGAACACGAGAAATCCAGAGAGCTCTCATCGTGCAGCAACGAGTCTCGCTCGCTGGTCAATTGCCCTCATGGAGTATTGGCTAATTCATTGCCGGTCACACAAAGTTATACACACAGGATACACAATCGGTGTGGTATGTACTAGTCGGGAAGCTAGACGATGGATGGGTTTCTTGGAAAAACCATGTTCGAAGCTCACTTTTTCCTTCCGAGTGGAATTGACCGAATGGGTCCTCCCCCAGTCTAGCCGTTCTCGGGCGGCCGATAAAGTATCGCCGCCTCTTGCTTTTGACAATCCTCTCGCCTTCGCCCACCTGGACTTTTCCTTCTTCTCATGCTTGACTGACCCCCTCGAGCTTCATTCTCTCCCTCAAATCTACCCATCATGAGGTACGGTAACCTCCCTTCATCCTCCCCCAATCGCAATGATCGGGATCATCGCATACCTCCAGCCACCTGCCGATTCCCGTGTCTCCCTCAGATAGCTCCCTCGCCCGCAATCCAATCCGATCGGATCAACCCTCCTCCGCATAGCTTGCCCATCATGGCCACCAATTTACAGCTGACATCTTCCTTACAGGTTCGGTGAGCATCTCCGATCCTCCATGATCAAGGAGTACTATCCTTACTACATCGCCTACGACGAGCTCAAGAAGGCCCTCAAAACCGACTTTGTCACCCAGCCCACCCCGGACAACGCCAAACCCGCCCGCAAGGAATGGACCGAGGATGACGAGACCACTTTTGTCACCTTGCTCGAGTCCGAACTCCACAAGGTCTTTCTCTTCCAGAAGCGCAAGTCCGAGGAAATTGTCGAGCGCATCAAAGCGAGTGAAATCGAGGTGAATGACGTCGTCTCCCGTCTCGACGACAGTGCCGGTTCCCGTCGACAGAGCACCCGCACAGCGAGGCCACCGCCCACCGACGAGGATTTCTTGCTGTTGGAGCAGGTCCTCTCCGATATTATCGCCGATGTGCATGATTTGGCCAAATTCACTCAATTGAATTACACTGGCTTCCAGAAGATCATTAAGAAGCACGATGTATGTGGTGCTCTCAATTGCCCTGTCTTGTCTCCCTTTGCCAGCAGAGTTCCACTCCGCTGGTTTTTCAAGATAGTAGACTGACAATCCACAGAAAGAGACAGAATGGTACCTCAAGCCCGTCTTTGCGGCCCGACTCAACGCCAAGCCTTTCTTCAAGGACAATTACGACGCCTTTGTTGTGAAGCTCTCTAAACTTTACGACCTGGTCCGTACCAAGGGTAATCCGGTCAAGGGCGACTCGTCTGCGGGTGGGACTCAGCAGAACTTTGTGCGCCAGACTACCAAGTACTGGGTGCATCGCGACAACATCACCGAGTTGAAGCTGGTAATCTTGAAACACTTGCCCGTGCTGGTTTTCAACGCCAGCAAGGAGTTCGAGGAGAAGGATACCGCCATTTCTTCAATCTACTACGATAACCCCGAGACCTGGGAGCTCTACCAGGGTCGTCTCAAGAAGACCGAGGGTGCTGAGGCTATTCGTCTGCGTTGGTATGGTGGTATGGAGAGCGACCAAATCTTCGTGGAGCGCAAGACCCACCGTGAAGACTGGACGGGTGAAAAGTCCGTCAAAGCCCGTTTCGCCCTCAAGGAGAAGAATGTCAATGCCTTCCTGGATGGCCGTATGACCGTCGAGCAGGTCTTTGAGAAGATGCGAAAGGAAGGAAAGAAGAGTACCGATGAGATCAACGATCTTGAGCAGCTTGCCCGTGAAATCCAGTACCGAGTCATTACCCGCCGCCTGGTCCCCGTCACCCGCACTTTTTACCACCGTACCGCTTTCCAGCTGCCTGGCGATGCCCGTGTGCGTATCTCTCTCGACACCGAGCTCACTATGATCCGTGAGGATAACCTCGATGGACGTCGGCGTGCTGGAGCCAATTGGCGTCGTATGGATATTGGCGTCGACTATCCATTCTCGCAGCTGCCGCCCGAGGACATTGACCGCTTTCCGTACGCCGTGCTGGAGGTCAAGCTGCAGACGCAGGCCGGCCAGGAGCCGCCGCAGTGGATCCGCGATCTTACGGCATCGCATCTCGTCGAGGCTGTGCCCAAGTTCAGCAAGTTCATTCACGGCACAGCTACTCTCTTCCCTACCCGCATCAACCTCCTGCCCTTCTGGTACCCACAGATGGACGTCGATATCCGCAAGCCCCCAACCCGCCGCTACGGTATCCACCGCCCCCTGGCGAGCACGTTGCTATCCGCGAATGACGAAGACTCTGATGATGACGATTCACCCCAGCTTACCGAGAGTGCTACTCTGAACGGGTCGCGCGAAGGCTCAGATGACCGGTACCTCTTCACTGAGACCAACGGAAACGAATTGGACATTGAAGAGCGTATTGCTGCACGCCCGCTGGCTGGTGATGAGGATTACCCGCTGTATGACTCGGATGATGAGTATGACACCGTGGACTCGGATGAATTGGAGGAGGCACGCCGTGTTGGTGGTGCTTATTATGCGGAACAACTGGTTAAGTATTACGTTCGTAAGACCGGGCATGCGATCGCAAAGGGCCTGTGGGCGATCATTCCCCGGCCTCGGGCTACTGAGATGCCACCACAGGAGGCACGCGGTATCCAGGTTCTCGGTACCCAGCGGACGCTGCAGCGCTTCCAGGCGCCACCTGGAAAGAGTAAGTCTCCCCCATTCTGGAAATGGTTCATTCCATGCTTCGCCCCTTAGTGTGGTCCGCCATTAACACTTCATAGGAATCTTCGTCCCCGTCCGTGTTGAGCCTAAGGTTTACTTCGCTGCTGAACGCACGTTCCTTTCATGGCTAGAATTTTCTATCATCCTAGGCGGTATCGCGGCCACGCTCCTCAACTTTGGCGTCGACTCCATCTCGCTGGTGAGTGCGTGGGCCTTTACCATTCTCGCCGCCGGTGCACTAGTCTACTCTTTGCTCCTCTACGTCTGGCGCGTGGACAAGATCCGCAAGCGCCGCGATGTCAAGCGTGTCTACTATGAAAAATGGGGACCTACCGTCGTCAGTGTCGGTCTCGTGGCCGTTGTCTTGGTGAACTTTGGGCTACGTGTCAAGGCAGGTGGATTCATGGCCGGGAAGTTACCGTTGGATGGTAGACCCCGGCACGGTGATGAACTTTGATTCAAAATGTTTGGATAGTCAGGTATATGGAAACTGGCTGATGAAACTTTCAAGCTATATATTGAGCTTCTCTTTGCTTTGGCGAGCCATCGCTGGATATATCTGTTGAGTGGCCAGTATGATGGTGTCACGTTGAACACTGTATTTACCATGGCGTTACAATTTCCCTTTTTCTTGATTGTTTTCATTCGCTTGGAGCTTGTGGCGTTGGCGTTATGTACAGAACCAAGACGAGCTATGTATGTCAATATTATGGAAATTTGCATGCAATCTGCACTTACAACACTGTGTATATAGTGGATCCTTATGGGAATTTCCGGTTTAAGGCGGGGATGTAAGCTTGGATTGGTACCTAACTTCCTCCGTAGTACTCAATATCCTCAATGCCACTCTTTTGGATCTTTGGCGCCTCAGCCCATTCTTGGGATTGCAGCCGTTAGGAAGTCAATTATTTCCCTGCCTTATGACAAGTGCCCGTGCGGGGAAGATATCCAGGGATTGGTTCCAAAATTAAATTTAGTGATCGTGAGAACAGTTACTTGCAGTAGCCGCGTGCGGAGTGCGCCTTTTACAAATTAAACTTCCTTCGATGACGAGCAGTGGCTGGAAAAATTTCTTTTGCATTTGCGGCTCATAGGGTGGCCGTTGTAATCTACACTTTCCATCTAGGCCCATACAGTTCATCCTTCCTAGCGCCCTTTGCCTGCCCTCAATTTGAACTCCTAAGTTTCCATTCAAATTTCACATTAGCCACTACTTATCTTTGATCTTGTGAAATCGCCTTGATTAAATAGAGCTAGCCTGAAAACCTAGGTAGTCTTTCAACGATGTGAAATCTTTGAGATAGTGGCTCAGCCGGTGCTCTTGGAAGACTCCGAAGCACTCAGAGGTAGGGCACAAGGAGATGAATTTCAAACGTCAAAATGATGCATTAGAATTGTAGTTAGATCGTGATGTAGCATGGATAATGGCGTGTCCAGGTAATAAGGGTCTCGGAGGGGTCAAAGAAGGACCACTGTAATTCGGACAGTGCACAACGCTTGAAATAAGTGGCTTCTGACGACTTTTGCATTATTTCATTTGCTAGATTTTCTACTCGAAGTAACCAAATTATCGAGTGTCAGGTATTGGGTAATAAGTGTCTATTGCCAAACCGAAATCTTCAATCCAACGCCCAATAATTCTAATGCTACACCCCACGGCCTCTTCTTCACCCATTTTCACATGTCACATTCACATCAGTCACCTCGTAGTATATAAAATGCCCTTGCATAAAGCTTATCTTCCTATTGTCTATTTGTTTCATCGGTGGTATACCACTCTCATAGTAGCATCCATCCTCACAAGAACTTGGCCTGAAAGTCAACAACCTTGCGCGTGAGGGGAAGGAGCATAGACCAGAAATAATAATGCAGAGCCCAAAAACTACTGACAGTGAATAACGCAGGCCGATTATCCTGATTTTGGACGAATTTCGCCACTATATTGTATGGACTTTTGGCAGTCTCTGGACTCGCGAGAATGTATGTCTGGAGTCACGTGCGATGGTCTCCCCTTCCCCTCACTTCGTTCGTTCTAGGGCATTCGAATCTGAAACTTAGAATACTGTAATTTACACAAAAGTACTTGCGTCGATTCCTGAATGCATTAAGGTAGCGATCTCCAAAGTTGCGCGACGATTGCTGGCTGCCCTACATGGCTGGCTGGTAATGGAGGTGCGGGGTTGAGAATTTCAGCTCGAAGCGAAACCTTGGAAGCCACCAGAGTCTGTATACTGGGTGGAGGCCCGTTTCCAGCGACGTACACATGCATGCTTCTCAATTCTTATGTGGCGATTGTGATTGACATAGCACACTCATCGCAGAGAAGTGACCATCTCCTCCAACCTTGTCATTAGACCCCTTGACTATGCCTCGATGGGAAGCTTAAGTCTACGTAATACGTAGTATGATTCTATCTGCTTATAAATGGGATATTTTGATTACGGATTCCCTTGAACCGTGTTCGAAGCTTCCCACTCGAGCGACGTGGATCTAAGTTTCACGTGCAGCTGGAAGTTTAAGGATCTATAGGCCACCACTAGCTCTTTACCTTACTTTTATCCTTTTCGATGGTAATATGCTCCATTCGGCTACCTATACAGTGGGCTAGGTGTGCTTGCAGTGATCCTTCCGTCCCGTGTATGTACTCACTGACCTGGCCCGGAGTTTTCGTCTCGTCTAAAGTGAAATAAAGTCCAACATTTGAGGTATGAATGATTCCGTCAGTGCCAGCATATTTATCCAGTATACCATGTCATAATCAAATGTTCACATGCTCAAGTTTATGCTTCCAACTTGTAGCACTAAAAGTTATGGCAACAACATGACTGTGTTTCGAGTTATATTTCAAATTTCTAAAAACGCATAGATCAAATACATCGAAAACACAGTATATACTAAATCAAAACCAAATTCCGAAAATCGAAAAGGTCACGACAGACACATCGATTCAGTCTTTACTAGAAATCTTGAAAATTCATGGTGATAGTGTAAGAACCAGAACTCAGTTCTTACGACTGCTCTGGGAGCGGACCAACGTCGGGTATAGGCTCAACCTTGAACTCAGTCTTTTTGAAATCTTCCGCGGATTTAATTACCTGTTTATTGATATTAGTTCCCAGAGCTATGTAACTCTCTTCAAGGCGGGGTCGGCATACCTTTTCGAATGCTTCAATTGCCCGATCGATACAGTCTTGCAGCAACAGTTTTTGGATGAAAAGACTTTCGTCAAGAGTTTCATCAGCATTACTGAACATTTGGATTGCGTCACCAAAGTTTTGGGACTGTTTGTCGAATAGCACTTTGATGTTGTGAATGAAGAGCGTCCTTGGCGGCAGCAATCTTATCGCTAAGATCGTCAAACAGAACGCATAGTCCAGTGATATTAACACTGAGGGCTGTCAAAGTCGTAATGTCGGCTTTGTTCTGCGCTAGTGCAATCTTACCAGCTTGCCACGCGGCATCTGCTTTAATTGCTCTGTCCGTGAAGACACTCATGACAGGAACAGATGCAGCAGGGCACCAAATATACAACACACTTGTGGAGGCAACAATGGTGGAATGTTTCTAGTTCCAAGCCAGAAAATCATTAGCAACCACATCTATTTTGTGGAATTCTGGGCTCAAAATTACCCAAATCTCATATTCCTCGTCTCTTCGCTTGATGTTTTTTTCGACCTCCTTGTTCAATTCTTCGATTTGTCCATGAATGTACTTGCAGTATGGGGGGAATGGCTTTAGCTCTTCATCCAGCTTCTCCTTTTTGGTAAGACTGTCCACGGCGGGACCTGTTCTGTATTCCTTTTTAAGGAAACAAACTACCTCATAATTGAGCTGGGTCTCCTTTTGAAACTGCGTTCGGAAATTAGTTGAATGAATTGGCTTCAAATGCTATGGGGAACAAAAAAAGAAAAGAAAGGAAAGACAGACCCCTTCAATCCTCGTGATGACATCGCTGATGCTCTTAGCAGTTTCAGAAGATCTGTTTTGCAATAGTTGAAGCAGGCTTCTGCAGGCATTCTTGGAGTCATTGAACTTTTTGTCACGATTTGATTCCTCCTCATACTTATCATCAAGGATGACAGCGACTTGTTCCTTGAGCTTGCCGGCTAGAAATATGGCATTCTTGGAATACGTTTGAACCGATCCTGCAACCTGGGCTACTTTCAGTCAGCTAGAGCTTTCTTGGTATTTCCGTTTTGTGGAGCAAACACATACGAATATAACCAAAGTCTTCCCGGTTAAATCGCTCACAAGACTTTTGTATATCCAAAAATCCTTTTTTGGTTACCTTCGATGAAGTCAGTCTGAATAAAAGACATCGTATTCTTGCAACCTACCTCATAAATACAACTATCAACTTCAGTGAAGTTTACACAATTCTCCTTTGGGTAAAGTCTCTCATAGTCATCGGACGATGATGGCAATTTCATGCCCGCAACAAATAAGCTTGTAGGTCTGCAGATGTATAATCAGCGGCTATGATAGATTTTGTTCTCAGGACTTAAGAATGGGTATACCATGGTAGCTTCTGCACTTCAATAGGAAACAATCCTTTTCCTTTGGTTCTTTACCGTCCGAGCCTTCCGGGAGCTGGACCGTTGCGACTGCCTTTAGTGGGAGTTTGTACAAGTTTTCGATAACCTCAATCGTCTTAGAATTTGTGGTAATGGACATGATGAGTTATCAAAGAGAGTTTCCAAGATTGTAATGTGTATTGAAAATGTTTCTAATTTTTGTGTAGGAAAGGTTGGAGTAGACAGATATATATCTATCTACTACTAGTAATAGGACGAAAAAAAGCTACAAGCTATGCCCAGTCAGTCTATTCAGCCAGCCAGATAATGGAGAGCCAAGGCAGAAAGCATGTCATAGCGGAGACAAGAAACCTTCCTATCGCATGCAACGCAGATCCATGCCTTCTACGAGGTAGTTTTTGAAATATGCACATAGTCTCACATGTTCAGCTGAAGGAATTTAGAACACATCATCTTGAAGAACGAGGAATTCGTCAGCCTACCCAGTCAACCTCACTTCGTAAACCCGAACTGCCTCTTAGGGGCGAGGCGAGCCAACACAGTATTCGGTTTTTAACTGACACGTATCTACGGAGTACAGCGTCAGTCTGCTCGATAAGTGGAACATATGTGAGATTCGTAAGACCATCTCCACATTTTTGCATGAGCGCATCCACTGTACTGAGGAGTTCATGCAATAAGATACTAGTATGTGAGATCCACTCTGTGGAACACAGAGAGACCACGGGAAGAATTAGCCTTACAGCCAGCCACATCCCCCCAACGAGACGATGGATCCAGTCATGGATGCTAATACATAGTCCCGGGTCCAACAAATACTCCGTTGCCTACTTCGTAACTACCTCGTCTGTCTTCTCTCCTCCTCATTTCACTCATTTCACTCATGACAACCAGTGTGACCGATGCGACCAAATCATTAACATACCTCCAGTAACTACGTATCTCAGCCATCTGGGCAATTTATCCGCGTGGGGCGCTCTCTCCATTGGGACAGCTTCGATAGGACTGCCAACACACCCCCTGGCAAATTTTGACCACATGCATGAATGACGATGGGATTATCATACAGTATACCTACATTGAGGGAGGTGGAGAAGAAAGAAATCCTTGGTTTCAGCTGCAATGCTAGAATAAGGCATTACGTGTCTCGAAAGAGTCATGTGAATGGCGAAGGATTGTGGCCCTATATCAACTTGAATTTGGGAATTCATTCAGTTTACTCGAACTTCGATTTTGTAACACTCCTAGCATCTTCAGGAGTTTTTTCTTCTAAGTCTACCACGCCAATTAAAGCCCAGGCCTCAAATCTGTCAAAATGACCGAAACATCTCCCTTCCATATCCAACTGGATAGCTCTGATAAAGTTGCCTTCCCTTCCCTGAAGAATACTGACCTTAAGAGTCATAAGTTGAGCGATATTACCCTCGCTCAGATACGGGAAAATTGCCATGTGTAAGCGTTATATCTTGGGCAGCAACTTAAAGTTGTTATATAATGTTTATCTAGCTACCGCTAATCTATAGCACAGATCTGGGAAGTACGATTTCAGCACGGATGGTAAAGCCTCCATTGCAGACTCAACTACTCTCGAGTACTATGTTTCCTTGACTCCCGGTGTATTCCTCCCCTTGACCGACAATTGTCTTTTCCAGAGCTAATATGCATTCGAATGCGACAGAATCGGTCCCAGTTTCAAAAGGAAAGCAGTTCACAACCACCTTCCAGTGCCGACCATGACGACGAACAAACCGTCATCAACTCCGCCGTTGCTGGCATTCCGATTGTGACTGTCAAATTAATCAAAGACAAGGCATCCGCCCGCCCCGACAAGCCGGATCTTGACAAAGCATTCAAGGTTGTCGAGGACACGCTTAGTGGGGTCAAAGGGCTCGAGTCTCAACAAGTGCAGCAACTATCGAAGTCTATTGGAAAGCGTCTGGCTGAGCAAGTTCAATTTACAACTGATAAGCCGAACACCGAGTAGGTGCCCTTGCGAACATTTAAACGCTAAAACATGGAAACCGCTAATGTCACAATAATTCAGCGTCTTTTCCCCTGCTTCCCCAACAGAAACCGACTGGCAAGAGATTCTTTTCAACAACAAGGCCCTGCATGGTTGGGTTTATAAAAAGCAGAAAAACGCCGAGGGCCATGTGACATCATTCATTCTTGAAAAAGCCCCTAAAAGAGGTTTGTCATTACATCCTCACATGTGCCGACCAGTGATGCTAACTAAAGGATGAGCATTCGAAATTCGCAGAGCAGTCCCTGGAACTCTGAATAAGAGTTCAGAAAAGTCGCCGAGTCCTTATGTAGGTATCCCCTTTTTTCCTAGTATGTTTCAATGCTGAACAAGTTGCCCAAAGTACGGTGCTCCAGGGATTCCGCTATTTGCTATTGACGATGAATCAGGTGTGACAGTGACTGAAATCGGCGATGCATTCCAGCATCGACTGAGGGCTTCACAGCTAACACCGTTGGGGCTTCAACGTTTGTGCTACTCTTTTTTTTGAATAATCGCTTCATAAACTAACTTCGCATAAGTGACTTTGGCACGGCTGTGTCCATTAAGGCTTCCTACGAAAAAGAGCGCAGCACTGCTACTACAACCCAAGACTCATCTCAAGCCGATGAATTGCATATATCATATAACGTGAGTATTTCGGGAAACACTGCCCGTGATCAATATAATTGCCGATGATGACTTATCATTATCCAGTTCCCACGGGTCACCGTCACTATCGAACCAGAGACTATACAGCTTTCTCGCGAATGCAGGCGTGATGCGTTGAATATTTCCAACGAAGAAGAAAAAAATGACTTTTTCGATAAATATGGTAGGGTTTCTGTATCTCCATGGAGCGTAGGCAATGCTAATTATCTTCAATAAGGACATGTTTTTGCGAGTGAGATCGGCCTTGGTGGACGCCTGCAACATACACGAAAGACCGCTCAATCGGAAAAAGGCCAGATCGAGGTGATAAAAGAGAGGATGCAAGTAGTTGCTGGTGCCAGCTTCACTGCACCCTATGTGGGGGCCTCGGCAGTATATGGTCATTCCGAAGGCACCCAAAGTACAGATGAAGTGAGCAAGCTCAACCGAAGCTTAGCCATGTCCTGGGCTGCGAAAGGCGGCGATACTACGCTTTTCTCCAAGTAAGTACCTTGAAATCTACATCTTAAAATTGCCATAAAACTAATCATTACACAAGTCCGCCACTCTGGGCTACCACCGTCAAGAATTTCAAATACTGGAGATTACTGAACGTGAGTTTTCAGCTGTCCTTTCTCAACAACATTAGGACAGATTGAGCCTAATATTGAAATCGCACAGCAATGCTTAACGGTCAATATGGAGAGCTTCATGAGATCCATAGATTCGGATGTCGCCACTAATCTGCGGGATTTAAACAAAGACACAAACATTGATCCTACAAAGCATTTGCAGGAGATAGGACATGCCCTGCGAACCCCCGGGTTCAACGATCCTTTGGTCACGAAAATAAAAGGCTACTTTGAAAAAGAATTCAACAAAGAGGCCAAGGAGGAATATAACAAATTACAGAAAGAACTCGGGTCTAAAGGTCCTAATGCGCCTATTCAGAATGGGAAATGGGGCGCCCTTACATTCGCACAGAGGTATGGTATTAGACATTTCATGATTCACAAGGGCCTTCTTTTCAATGTTGAAGCACCCAGCCAATGAGGAAATGGTGTCTACTAAATCTAGGATGTAGTTCTTGGATGGAGAGTGAATAGAGCCTGTAATCACCGACTGTTTTGGGGTGATTCAGAGAACAATAATCTACACCCTGACTTTTTGGCTGCTACTTCGCTCTTTTCATTTTTACCACTACGGTAGGCGGTCGAACTCAAGCATACAGCTACCCGGGGCTTAAATGATGTCAAGGAAAATTGAAATACATTACTCGCGGACAAAGGATACGTCCTAACTATCGGCTTCAGCCTGGGGCAGTACCGGAGTATTTCACGAACCACTGGACATGGCCGAGGATTCAACCAGATTGAACATCCATAACCAATGAGCTGGAGCTGCTGGAACACAACCAATCTCTAGACGAGATATGCAATCCATTCCCACGCACACCTATGAATCGGGGTGCTGATCATACAACGTCGATGATGAGGAGGATTGAGCTGATGGACATTCACCGACTAGCCATTTTATATCATTCATATGATTAGCAAGCATTTAATCTTTCCTCCTAATCCATTTTCTTAGCCCGAAACACGTTAGAAGCAACGAGGATGGACGGATGGGATTGGGCATCGTGTTCGAGGAAGAATCAAGGAGCGTAAAGTGGTGAAAACTACTTCAATCTTAGCTATACTCAAGAAAAATATATAAGACTCCGTGAAGGCATGTGCAGAGACGACAGGTCCTGCCAGGCACACCTTGGCCTTCTGGTCCATCCGTTAGGTCAAAACTTGATGGAGTATCTCGCACGCAGAGACATCCCAGTCAACGGCGACGAGAGTGGATTTAATAATTTGGTCTCACAAAAGTTATGTTATTTCAAAAGGAGAAAGAGACAAAAAAGGGTTCGTTTTGCTGATTCAATAGTTCTCATTTCCCAAATATCTGGCGGCGGCCTTGGTGCTCCGCATAGACGGTAGTATTAAAGAAAAAAAAGGCAGGTATTTGACTTCATTATTCAGGATGAGGTCACACAGATCATGCCGGAAGAGCTGGTGCTGGAGAAATAAGTTCAATATCTTCCGCTGGCAACATTGAACAAATGCAAGTAACCTTTCGGGTGTTTCTGGTTCTGGTTTCTGTCGTTATCTACTGTCATACCGAGATCTTATCCAGTAAAAGATCCTAGATTACGTTGACCGCCCTCGATGGATTCATAAATATGAGTTCAATTTGATCTTTGATATGTTAGGAAGACTTTTTTAGTTAATCTATAAATTAAGGCTTCTGCATATTTCCTTCTTAGACGGATCTCGTTAAAATATGCAAAAACGCGGGTTAAGGGTAGGCATTCACCCCTCTGGGTGAAGAATATTCAGGCGGGCGGTGAGCATTACCATAGCAGGGCTGTTGTATGTTTTGTTTTTGTTATTTTAACACCATGTACACTATATCTATTGGCATTGGCGGTCTATCATGGCTCGTTTTCCTTCGACCATAGACTGATGCCAAGTGCTTTCGTATAGTGCAATCTTCGAAGACACCGAGGTTGGACAGTCCAGGCTTCTCGTGGCCAGACTCAAGCTTGAAAACTTCGCTATCGTGGCTCAGATACTTTGGGAGTGAGTCAAAATTGGACCTATAGACCCCTTCGCAGCTGTGGCACTGCTTGATTTCTAAGGGGTGGACTTATTGTCCACCATCACACGGTTGAGGTTGTCAAATAAGTGCGGTTGATAGGCTTGACAGAATGACAAAACTCGGGAAAATTGCATGATATTTGGACAATCTGGTTTATGATACAATCGAAGCTGGCTTGAACTGAGGGAGCAGGCATTGAAAGTAGTGTGGACAATGTGAAATATCAAGTCTGCTATGCTCTCAGTTTCACGGTCTATGGCGTAAGCAAATCAAAGCCTTATAGGTGAAATGAGCTCTCATTCTGGCGAGCCCGCCAAACCTCACTCGGAGACGTATCTCAAGACTTTTCTCACTTTCCTTTACCACCCCTCTCCATTTTTCTCCCTTACCAGTCTTCACCCCTTATTCTTTTTACTGAGCAAGCTTGGAAGATATCATCATGCAACCCAAATCCTTCATTAATCGAATGTCTCAAAAGAAGAATGCCCTCGAAAATGAGGCAGGATCTCAGGCTAACCAGGCCACCGACGCCGCTCCCCTCTCGCTGTCGAGCATGCTGTCGAGCATTGCTTCGCGAATGAGTGTGAGGGCGTTGTGTGGAACGGAAGATCCCATGACTTCCATGTCGGCAATCGCATCACAGATGCGCCTCGGATTAGTCAACGTGGGAAGCACTCGGCATGACACTTGCAAGACTCCCGAACCCGTGGCAGTCTGCGAGCCGCCAGAGTCTCCATTGACGTCTGCGGCTCCAAGCACGCCGACGCTAAAGTCCGAGAGCGTTAGCTCTCGCGATGGGGAGGAAGCCCCGCGCTCTCTCAAGAGAAAACGTCAACCGGCAAAGATTCTCGCAACGCCCACGAGCTCAACCCGAACCACACCAGCTCACTCTCCCAATGAGATGGTGACGACTCCCGGCTCTTCTTATGTGTCCAGAAGAATCAGCACTTTGAAGTAGGTCCCGGGTAACCTCTAGCCATCGATGAGCAGCTTTTGCTAACCAATCTCATAGACTAGGTAGTCCCGTCGCTGAGCAGAGTCCCTGCCGCCCTCGACTGCGCTCCGAGGCGAGAAAGTTGAAGAAGGAAGTGGAAAAGACCAACGCAAGCCCTCGCTCCTCGCAAGCCGACGTTTCCAGTCTTCGAACTCAGCTGGACCGTGAAAAGCGAGATAATGACAAGATCAAAGTCCACACCACCAGTGACAAGGATGAACTTAAAGCGGTACGAGCAGAGTTGAACGCCTTGCAATCCGAACTCGAAAGCCAGCGATGCGAACGCTCTGCATTAGAAGAAGAAGTTGCTGCCATGCGTGCTGAGCTCAACGTTTTTCGCTCCGAGGTTCAAGGAGACTCGACAAATGATGCTACCATCACCCCTGAGACTCGCACGGACGTGGACAGGATCATTCTTATGAATGATATGCTGCGTCGCGTCATTCACGGCGAGCGAATTCATAATCGGGAGATGACTAGTAAGCTCAATTCGGTTCGCGAGAAGGTTGGGCCCCTACTAGCCAAAGTAGACAACTTGGCAGACATCGTCAACGAGATGAGGGCCCACCTTAGTGCCCATGATGCTCCAATTGAGCTCACCATGGATTTTGTGCGAAACTTCCACCAGTGGTGGGTGAACAGATACAACGCACGTCGTGGGGATGGTGGCTCAGCAGAGAATGATCTGCCCCAGGCTGAAGGTGTTTGAAATGGTACTATGATCTTGTTACTGGAGAATTCTGTTGTACTATGCTACATGGGTGACAATATTCAGACCTTGTTGGTGGTGTTCTTTGTGGAAATTGTGATTTCTACCTAAAGATTGAAAGATGGTATCGCTGCCTTGACAATGTGAATCTTGTGGAAATAATGATTGACTGCCTTCCAGTAAACTGAGGACTTCAACGCTCATCAGGCTACACTGTACCGGATATCTGCCTTCACTAGTCAACAACCAGGCAAGCATTGAGCTGCCTTGGTGATAACCATACCGCCTGGAGCCTCTCGCTCTGCTGCCCTAGTATACAGATTGGAAACATTTAAATATCTCCTTCTCCAGGGGGGGATTCGTCCTCCAAAATTTCTACATACTCTCCACACTCACATCCTCACACTCTCAATACTTACGCCCACCCACCCACCCACCCACCACACAAGGCTGGTCCTTGTGATCAAAATCTCAAATTTCCAACCATTCAAACAAAATGGTTGTCACCCGGAGCCAAGCCGGGGCCGAGAAGCGCAAGCGCGCAGAGGCGGAGAAGGAGATCGCCGATCAGGCTGAGACCTCGACTCGCAGCAAGCGAGGACGGTAAGTAACAACTACAAAAATACCATACTCTACAGAAAGCCCGCATACTAAGAATATCTCACAAGCTGCCAAAAGACCACCCCCAAGGGGCCGTCCCAGCGGGCCACCGAGGAGGAGAGCCGACCAGGGCAAGCTGTTCGCGATGCGCCGGCGCCGGCGCCGTCCGGGCTGGGCACCCTGAACGCTCGACTCCTCGAGCTGGAAGCGCGGGAACATGCCCGAGTCAGGGAGATCGCCTACCTCAAGGCGGCTCTCGAAGCCTGCCGGCAAGATGCCGCTTCTTTTCGGGCCAGATCCCAGGCCCCCACCCCCTCTGAGGAACAGGCGAAGTGGAACTGCCTGTGGCTAACTCTCACCTCAATGCGACAACTGATGCAAGAGGAGATCGCGGCGGTGAAAGATAAGCAGCGCGAGTTCGAAGAGAGAATCCAGTTCGACGGCATCGCGATCAGGGGTGAGCAGCGTGAGATCAGACGGCTGGTCCCCGAGGAACTTGCCGCAATGCGGGCTGAGATTCGCGAGTCCAGCAGAAATGTGATGGCGAGCTTGACGCACATCTACCACCAGCAGTTGGCTCGGTTTGGGGAGGCGATGGGGTGATGAGGAGAGGGGTTTGTCGGGGGAGCTGAAGAAGGGGACTGATACATTGCTTGCTTTGAGCTGTTTTCGGCGGTGATGATCAGATCCTGCTGATCGGTCGGGAATGGGAGGAACGGGAGGAAGGAGAGGAGGAGAGGGCATTGTTTGAGTTTGGTGCTTCGGAGTGAGAAGGGGTGGCCACTGGTTCGGCTTGATGATGGTCGAGGAGATTGAGGATGCTGGCCATTCTCTAGAGAAGACAACTCGGTCTGCCCTGAAGAATAGATACTTCCATTCTTGAATAAGAATTGTTGGGTCGCCGTCATTATCTACATTCAAGATCGTAGGTATCGACCATAGCCTAGTAGTGTGGGACATATTCAAATCGATTGTCTGGACTTCGATTGACGAACAGATAAAGTAAGAAGAGAGCCTTAGATATGACCTGGTTGGATCAGATAAGATCTTCTTGGAAATGCACAGACCAACTCGTCGCTCCAACGGGAGTTCACCCAAGCGGGTCCATGGAACCCTTCCGGAACCGCCACGACCCACAATTCCAGAACTATCAGTTTGAACAAAGAACGAATCCAATCCCCAGCAGAGAGCCGCATCGCAGTCCCCCTTTCAGATCACCACCTTCCTTAGCTCCAGCACCAGATTGAGCCCACAAAGTAGGAGCGCCCTAAGATGGGCACCCAGGGGGCTTTAAACGCGGATGTGAGCACGAGGTTGGGCACCTACTGGAGGTGGTTGTCTCCTGATGAAACAATTATGTTAGTGAAATGATGCAAAATGAATGCCAAGGAGTATGTTGAAGTGTAATGGATACTCACGGAGACTCTCACGGAGCTTCTCGGACGAGCTAATCAGGTATTCGAAGCTACTCTGGTGACGGTCGATCTGCATCTGCAGAGACTCAAGCTTGGCCCGGATGGAGGCAAGCATAGTAGTGACCTTCGAATTCTGGGCCTGGACCTCTTTGAGGGCGTTCTCAAGCTTGATGATCCTGTTTGGTTGTAGGTTAACCGATGTGCTGCAAGATAAAGAGACTCTACCCGATGGTGATGGGACTTACCGCTGCAATTTGGTAGCCTCTTTCTCGGCCTTTTTCTCAGCCTTGCGGATGGCATTGGGATTTTTCACGGATTGAGTCATTTCGACTTGAATAGGAATTAATTTGTGGTTGATAATGTTTTTGATGAATTTGGAGATGGATCACAACGTAGGGTGACTGTGGTCGATGGAGGAGAGAGATGGGAGAGAATGAGAAACAGGATGGGAGGCACGAGCAGAATGAAGCTATAGAGACGCGTTGGTAGTATCAGGCACGTGAACCATGCCAACATCCCGATACCTCCTTTTAGGGTTAGCGTGAAGCAATTGTGCTTGATATAATCACTGGGGAATCACAATGGCCCGGAATCTCTCCGTCAATAACCTTTTGCCTGCATCTAATGTAGACAGATACACTCTACTAAGAGACGGTTGCTGGAACAAATTCCCCTACCAGGTGACCGTTTGAGCCTCTTGTGTGGACTACTGTGATTGAATTTCTTAGGCGATAGAAGTCCTGGGCATTGCTAAAAGCAAAGCAGTGCCTTGGTCATGATTGATGAAGACCCTACATATTGAGAACCGCATATAAGCCCCTTCTCTGTGTTACTGATATGTACTGACTCTGTGAAATAGTGGAAGGTGCAGACTCAAAAGCTTGACCTTACAGGCCAGGAAGGCCAACAAGGCTTTCAGGACAAACAGGGCCAACCGTCTTGAATCGGAATCACCAAGCTTCAGCAGAAGCCGAATAAAGAGGAAATATGGAGGGCAAATCCGATGATACAAGTGGCTCGCCGGCACCAAACAGACCTTGCTTTGTCCCTGGGTCATGGGATACAGGAAAGAATGTTATGGGGTAGAGGCTCCTATTACGCCGGATAAAAGTCATATATCTCGTGGCTATGGTGCTGCCATTACAAACAGAAGTAGGAACACATGCCCTATCATGCATTGTGATAGTGCAATCTCAGACGGCAGCCTGAAGGTGTGCTATTTTCAGCTTAAATACCGCAATTACTCCAAATTGCATTGTCCTATCAAACTGGGCATTGAGCTGCCAAAGCCGTTCATGACTTAGGGCAAGCTTGATGCGCAGGACCCGCTTTTCTAGGCCTACGACGACATTATATCAAACGATGACTACGCATCCAGAACGGCACAGGAAAGCAAACGTGGGCTTGCTAAACTGTTTTTCTACGAGCTCACCCCGCCCTTCTCGTCAACGTTGCTCAAGACTTCGTCAACACACCTGTCCCTGCAACATTACCTTCCACCACGACTCACGGCCTTCTGATTACCGACCCTCTCTCATACACAAGTCTACCTTAACCTCTCTCTACCTCTCTCTACACACAAGCACAAAGTGAGTGAGGCCTATAAACACGAATCAAATCAAGAATCAGAGTGCTGACTCTCACTCCATATGGCCAACACCATCAGCCCCCAGGCCAGCGCCTACATCCAGACCTACACCACGATGCCGCTGTCACCAGCAGCGATCGAGGAGGTGGAGGCTGCCTACCCAGACCTAGGCATTCGCCGTGTGGACCGCGAGTAAGTACTCACCCAGCATGACTCGTCATGAAAATGATAAAAACGCCATTTCTAACCTGAGATGAACTAGCTGGGCCAACAACATCCACCAGCAGCAGGATGTGTGCTCTGAGTTGATGCAGATCATCGGTGACATCCAGCAGGCCGAGGCTACCGGGGACGCAGACAGCGTTGCTGATCTTGCTGGACTGCGGGTGATGCTGCAGGTGGCACAAGACGAGCTGGTGGAGTTGGGCATGGAAGTCCGAGTCCTCAGCAGCAGGTATCAACTCCTGTTGCTAGAGATGCGGGACCGGATGGAATTCATGGTGCTGCAAGACAATAACCAGCAACCGGTCTGCCCTTGCCGGGCCTGCAGGGAGGAGGGGTTTTTCTACTGGGAGCCCTTGGGGCATCTGGAGCTCCTCGACCTGTGGATGCTGGACAGGGAGCAGATGGAGGGGGCGGATGAGGAGGAGGCGGAGTTTACGGAGGGGGAGGAGGTGGAGGATGGGGAGGATGAGGAGGTGGTTGAGGAGGAGAACGAGATCTGATCTATACAGATCGATCCGTTAGAGAGGGGTTCGAGATGTAGAGTAATACAAATGCTCTACGGAAGCAGCTGTACTGCTGCATTATCAATTTCCAGATACTCCCATCGTGCGCCGACATGAAGTAATTGGTGTACGTTAACAGTATAGATGCAAGACCATCAAGTCCATTGAAAGGAGCATGACCGCTGATCTGAAATTGTTCAAATGATCAAATTCACGTCAGCTTATGCACACAATACAATGGGAACTCATCAACACGCCCATCGACCGCTCATTTGAATATGATCTTATCAATGAGAGTATTGTGACGCTTGTGAGCGACAACTGATACGGTGCATGAACCTGCTTGTGGCTTTTCGTAAATGGTGATGTCGGTAGTTCGACAGTTGTCTCAACGAAAAGGGTCTATGAGGACGTATTCATCCCAGTCAATCAACCCACTTCTGGCCCATCGAGAGCAAGATTTAATCAACCATTGCTGTACGCAATCATGGCCCTCGCTGGGCACCTTGACCCGTAGGGTTCTGGAGTTGGTATCCCAAGTTTGCCTTTAAAGGTCTTGAAAGGATATAAAATGTGCCGCTGCGCGCCATAAATGGCCCATCCTACGATGGAGGTCCATCTGGAAGAGGTTGGATCACACATTACGTGGGCCCTAGATTTGGCAGGAGTTCTACGAGTCCCTGGGCTCTCTGTCAAGGTAGTATGTAGACCCCAGCTGAAATTGAGCAGGTTACCAGGCATAAAGCCACCCTTCGTGGTTATATTTCCTAATAGCGAGCTCAGCTCTAGGTCAAGGGGTCCAATAGTTGGCGGGTATGAAGACGCAGGCTAATCCTTCAGGCGGGTAAATTCTAGAGAGTGAAAGGCTAACACCAAGTCGAGTTTGGTATGTAAGTTGCACCACAGTGAATATGTTGAATAGTGCATACGGAATCATGCTTCCTACAGGATACTGCGTAAACCGGATACAATGGACTTATTCTCGCTATTTTGACAATATCTGGCAAGCTGGCTCAATGCGTGACGATTCCATTTCAAAATCCAAAGCTAAGAAATAATTCAGAGTAGTCGCTTCACGAGGGATAGTACGGGAGCTCGTGGGATATCCTATATATTCACTTGCCTTCGCAGGGGATGCCCGAGCCTCGATATTCTTACGTTTGCATAACCATTATGGAGTGTTACGTTGGAAAATTCGACTGTAGTTATTCATTCTGCGGCTGAGCTATTGCATTCTTAAGCAGATAGAGCAAATGATTCGATGCAGTTTGTGCCAGATCCTCCCCCAAAGCTAAGACATGCAGAACGAAATCTCTCACGGGCACAACGATAGCCACTGGAACGAGTTCATAGGAAAACAGACAAGCGAACGACAGTAAGTCTCCGATTCTTGATAACGATAGAGCTTGGGCATCCTTCAGAGAATGAGCACCGTCGGTAAAGCCACCCAGCACATGGGCTTCAACACTTCTCCTGGCCATAATGAGCAATGAGGTGCTGCATCAACTTGGTGGGCGAACGCTTAAGGGCCCCGTTCTTGAAGCAACGCTGCGAGCGGATCTCCTGAGACACATGGCCATAAATGAGCGAGACAGCCACGCTGATCATGTGCTCGTACCACGGGTACAGCTCATGGTACTTGTCGAGAGGCACGCTGGGCTCACAAACGATGGGCCAGACCTGGTGCATGCGGAGCAAGATCTCGATACCAACCAGCCAGGTCCAATAGTTGGTTGGGCCGGTCAGGTAGTCCAGGTGGAACTCATGGTAGTGCTTATCTTTCGAGTTGTCGATGAAGATTTGGACGTTGCGAAGGGTCTTGGCCTTCTCCTCAGCACGCTCTTCGGCGCTCATGTGCATGAGCTCCAAGTCCTCCCACTTCAACTTCTCAAACATGTCGCGGTGGGCATAGAAGTCACGATGGAAGAAGCCCTTAGAGTCGCTGTCCTCGGAAGGGTCATCGACGTCGAGTGCTTCGCCGGAGTCATCAGAGTCATCCGAATCATTTGAATCATTGAAGTCGTCAGATTCGCTGTAATCATCGTCGGGAGAGCCCTCCAAGTCGGAAGGGACGGGCTGGACGAGGCCCGGGAGCTCGACACGCGCGTCAGCCTTGGAGGTTGCAGGAGCTAAAAACATCACAAGAACGTTTAGACACGGACTTCCGGGAAGAGGAATAATGACAGCTAGGTGTATTAGCCAGGAACATGGAGACCTACCTTTAGTCAACTTGTCCTTAGTATCAAGCTTGGACTCCTTGATATTCTTCTTTGCCTTTGTATCCGACTTTATGTCCTTGGCATCACCTTTCTTTCCCTTGGTGTCATTCTCCTTGGTAGTGGCCTGCTCCTTCTCATCAAGCTTCTTGTCTTTGCCAGCGACCTTATCAGAGTTGTTCTTAGTCTTCGACATCAGATCTGACTTGGGAGCCTGGGACTTGGCATTCGTATCAGCAACGGGACCCTCAGCCTTGTCGTTGGCCTTGGCCAGTCCTTTGGTGACGGATAGCTCAGCGATGGCCGAATGCTTGCTGGTGTTTGAGTCCATGTTGAGAGACTTGGTTGAGTTGACCTCAGCACTGGTAGAGGAAAGACTAGTTGCCTTCTTCTTGGACTTGTCGGGGACAATTTGAGAGACACGACGCTTGCGTGATTGACGCTCAGCGGGATCACGAGTGGGGGAGCCAGCCATGGAAGATGATTGAAAGAAGGGGTGGATGAGTGTTTTTGGATAATCTGGATTGAAGAGAATGGTTAAAGGTTGGAAAGTGGTGGAGGAGATGAGAGTTGGAAGTTGGACAAGTTGAAGTGAGAAAAGCCGTGGTTTTGTAGATGAGAAATGGCAAATTCCGTACTTTGCCAATTCATTTGCAGGAAATTACCTTCAAACTGGGTCTTATCATTTACAAAGAAGTTGCGTAAAACAATGCATGAATGGATTACCGGAGGTATAAAGACCATTTGGATTATTGTCAAGGACTGTGGGGACTGAAGACAACCTATGTACATTCTAAGGTCATACCCACAGCGTGGAAAGAGGTTTTGTATAGCATCAATCGTCAAGGATTGTAATTGACAACTGGAATCACAGTGTCCTCCAAGCTGACGGCGTCGGGGTTTTTAGCTCCAACGCCAGAATACTTGTTGATCCAGCCCAGGACTTGTTGATGCCACACCAGACTGTTCTCCTTGTTCGTGACCCTATTGAGATATTAGCTTGCTGCAATTTGCCACCTCGGTAGTACCGGCCTCCTCGTTGTAGGCGACTAAGACCTACCAGTGGTTCTCATCGGGGAAGTTCAGCAGACGGCTGGGAACACCGCGTTCCTGGAGGACATTGAACAGGCTCAGACCCTCAGATTCGGCCAGACGGTAGTCCTTCGTGCTGTGAATGACCAAAGTGGGGGTGCTGAACTGCAGAATGTGCTCGGGCGCGGAGGGGTCCCAGCGGCGGTAGTTGTCTCGGTTGGCCCAGAAGGTGCCGTTGAACTATGTCTTGTTAGACGACAACTCTCCAAACACGAGCTAGAACATGGAATAACGCACATCATGCTCGGTGAACCAGAGCTCATCGGTGGAAATCTTCGCATCCGCAACAAAGGTTCCGTCGTGGGTGACAATGGCTTTGAACTCTCGTCCAAGCGGGTTACCTTGGATCCAGTTCATCATGAAACCTCCATAACTAGCACCCGCAGCCACGCCATTGTCCGTGTCAATGAAGTCAAACTTGTCTCGGACATACTCCCAGGCCTTGACCAGATCATCGTAGGGGTAGCTACCTAGGTAAGGTCAGCAAGTTGCTTGCAAAGTTTCCATGAAGAAGCCAAATGATACCCCAGTTGTTCGTGATAGCATCAGTTAACTCCTGTCCAAAGCCAGTGCTGCCTGTCGGGTTCGGTGCAACGACGACGTAGCCCTGGTCTGCCCAGACCTTGGGATTCCACCGTGTACTCCAAGAGTCAGCCCATGAGCCCTGGGGTCCGCCGTGAACAAAGAAGACCAATGGGTATTTCTTGGACTTGTCAAAGTTGGCAGGATAAATAAGCCAGGAATGAATCTTGGTGAGTTAGCGTAAAGTTCGTCGACATCGGCGAAGTGACGGCTTACCTTGGTCCAGTTTCCTTCATAATAAAACTCATCCAAATCAGCGGGTCCCAGTCCCTTCAAACCAGGATCCACCTCATTAGCAGAGATCAGCGTGGAAACAACACCGTGCTTGGGGTTCGCACTGTATACAGTCCAGCTGGTCCAGATAGCGGAGCCGGTGATCAAGAAATCGCCGTTGGGGAGGTTGCGGAAGCCCTTGACGGAGCCGGTGCTGGTGAAGTTTTGTGGCTTGTAGTCATCACCCGCATCGGCAGGAAGGAAGAAGAGACGCCCACGCGCATGATCCTCAGCGTTGACAATGAGATTCTTGCCATTGGCCGTCCACTTGACTGCATCTGGTGAGCGGTCCCAATCCTTAGCCAAAGCAGGGATAGTCTTTTCAGATCCAATGGAGTATACGTAGAGCACACGGCGATCAGACTCGTATGCGATATCCTCCATCTGAAAGTATGCAATACGCTTGCTATCTGGGGAGAAGGATGGGCTGCTGGAATCACCCTTTACTCCATCGGGAGTCCCGGGGCTGTCTGGGCCGTTGATTGCCTCTGGCTTCTTAGATCCATCGTGCGGAACGAGGTAGATATACGACGCAGTGTGATTTGCTCTGGGCAATTCAGGAGCTTTGCTCTTGAAAGCGACCCATTTTCCGTCCGCAGAAAGGTCGTAATCCGAAGAGTCGCCGAACGGAGGGTATGGCGATTCCAGATTCTTCACACCAGCAACGAGATTCTTGAGCGGCTCGTCAGAGGTATAGCGGGAGTTGGCCGACTGTTTGTCCTTCTTCTTCAGGGTGCCGGAGAAGACAGCATTGAAAGTGGTCGTCAGCCAAGTGTCCCAATGGCGCACGTAGATGCTGTCGTAGATGCGAGCAGAGCTTAGCGGAGCAGTTGCCAGCTCTTCGTTATATGCAGTTCCATTCCCGTAGGACTGGGCATATGCTAGGAAGTTGATATCGCCTGCCTTGGTAATCGCAGTCTTCAGACCCGAGAACGGAGCGGGAAGAGACGCGGCTTTGTAGCGACTGCCAGATGATTAGTGAAAAGAGAGCAACAAACAGCAAGAGCATGCACATACGACTTCTCGAAACTGACCGTGTCAGAAATCCACAGCTCAACGCCACCGGGGATGTCGGCGTTCGTGCTGTTGATATACAGCAGTCTTGAATCATCGGTGCCCAACCAGATGAGCTCGGAGACATTGCTGTCATTCGTGAGCACTGTGATCTTGCCGCTGTCGAGATCGATCAAGTTCCACGTCGACGAGGTTTTGTGCGTCTCCCACGAGTACTCCGAGGACGAGAATAAAGCGACCTCCTGATATTACGTTAGCAAGAGGGATGTACTTATCCCTACAAAGGACGAAAGATCACTTACTCCCGAGGGATTAGGGATGGCCTCACCACGCCGAGGAGCTGCAATTAGCTCTCTAGAAGGGGGTTAACAAGTCATTATCTGCCAATTGCATTGTGCCAGAGGACCCCAAATATAGGATGCACTTACTCAGGCGTCAACGCCTTTACCCCCGACACGACCGCCCCTAATCCAAGGACTGCCCATTCAAACGAGCGCATCTTCGCAACGAGATACGCGCAGACACAACTAAAGATTAACGTAACAAATAGCAGATGAGCGATAATCCTGGCCCGAGATGTGCCTCTGCTTAAGTATGCCCGCACCACGAGGACCATCGGTGATCCGGCAGTTTCCCCTAGGGGGGAAATGTTACATTCCACGATGCCAAGAGTGATAAACAGGCAGCGCAGGGTCCTGTTCGGCCATGACGATGAGCTTGCAGGAGGAGAAAGTGCGATCTGCTCTGTCGGAGCGGGGATAATCAGGGCACTAAATTCATTGGAAGGCGCAATTGGCTCGCGATGAGAACAAAGAAGGATTGCTGATGGCTTGGGTTGCAGCGCCAAGCCGAGCGGGGGAGGCCCGCTGATACCCGGCGGGATTGAGGATGATAGATCGGTATTGTTCGGGAATTAAGAACTTTGTACGATCGGAAAATTGTTGTTATCCATTGGAAATTGGCAGGGTATTTGACTCTTGGTTTTTAAAAAATGCAAGAAATGGACTTGAAAATGTACAATTGGTGCTTTGATTCAGGCGCTGGTCCCTTCGTTCGAGGCCCATCTAGTCGCGCCATGGTGCATATGGCATGCTAAATGATGTGATGACGGCCGAGAAATTACTCTGACCACAATGCAACATTGGAGAAAAAAAAATGAGAAATTGATTATGGGTTCGCAAAACGCCCAGCAGAATGCGTCTTAATATTCAAAGTCATCATCCACACCACGCTTGCCGGCCGTTTCTTGCGCCACCGCTTCTTGCTTCCGGTACATCTCCGCTACCGCGCGGGTTGAAGTGGCCTGCTCCGGCTTCTTATCCTCGCGGGACTTAATGAAGCGGGGGAACCGCAGTGAGACACCTTTACCGCCACCAGTCGTACCTTCAAACTCATCCGATGCAGCTTTGTACCGAGGGCTAAGGGTCAAATCGGCCGTTTTCACTTCCCACACCAGACGGGGCTCGAACCATACATCGGGCTGATCCTTGGGAACAGTGGAATGGGAGTAGAAAGGCTTCGGCCGGTCAATGACCAAGGGAGTAAGCTCCTTGTGAAGTTCCTCCAATCGTGCTTCCGAGAAGCCCGTACCAATGTTGCAAATCGTCTCGTACTTATCCGTGTTGGGGTTATAAGCAGCTAGAAGGAACGCCCCGTATACGGAAGTACGCTTGCCCCGTCCGTAGTACGCACCGAGAACGACGAGGTCGAGAGAGTCGCCAACACCAGCAAGATAGTCCTTTTTGACCTGCACAGATAAGTTAGTGTCTGATGTAATATTAGAGAAGTCATTGTCAAATCATACCTTCAGCCAGTTGCGACTTCGCTTGCTGGGCTCATAACCACTCTCCAACGTATCCAGCATCTTCACCATGAGTCCTTCACACGAAGCCTTGACACTTTCATCCAAAAGGTCCTGGATCTCGTCAAGGACATTGGTGTTCCCAAATTGTGCAAACTGGAACTCGCCTTCAATGGGTTGGAAGCACTGATGCAGTAGCTCTCGACGTTCACGTAGTGACTTTTTGACACATGGCTATCAATACTGCGTTAGTGAATGCTGCAGAAATCGTGCCATTAGGATTGGCTTACCTCTCCATTGAAGAAGAGCAGATCGAAAGCAAAGACGCAGACCTTGACCTTGACGTCCTCTGCCTTCACATCCTTCCGTTTGCGTGTCATGAGCTGCTGGAATGGGAGAACCTTCTTGTTGATAGTGTCCCAAGCAACAGTCTCGCAATCCAAAACAAAGCTGTTGACATCTTGCTTGACCCAACTGTCAAGCTTACCCAGAATATCCGGGTACTTCTTTGACAGATCTTCAGAGTTGCGAGAGAAGATAGCACTAAGACCCTTTTGATCCTTTTGCAATGTAGCGACTGACCCGGGATACTTATGGATATGATCCGGAGCCACAAAGTGGATCTGTGCACGCTCACCATCGTACTTGTATTCGCAGGTAAATTCCTTGCCTTCAAAGCGGTCAAGAACTTCAGTAATCGACTTGGTCGGCTTGGCAAGCATTGGCTTCAAAGGGACACCGGGCTGAAGCTTGCACACCTTGGGCAGATCGAAGAGACCATGCTCCAACATAGCGGGAATGATCACTTCGTAGGATGGCAGCTCACTATATACTGATTTGAGAACAGATTCACCCTCAGCCAGCCGCTCTGGAGTTGGAGCCTTCTCGCCTGCAGCGGCGGCCTCGTGGTTGACAATGGCTTGAGCCAGCGCCACAAGAACAGTCCTCTCTGCAAGTCCTAGTCGCAACTTGCCCTCGAGGAAGCGGACGATGAACTTCGCCTCGCTAGGTCCGCCCTTGTCCTTGGTAATATCAACACCCTTACTGCCCTTTCCAGAAGTTGCGGAGTCGGCAGCAGACAACAACTTCTTGATACCAGAAATTTTCTTGTCCTGTGATCCGTGTCCTTGAACCTTTGCAATGCCCAGCAGTCCCTCATGGACGCCCCTGACAGTCAAAGGCTTCGGCTTGAACATAGTAGGTTGGTTGCCACGACTTTTGGCAGCCACCAACCCCAAATCACCAATTTCATGCTGATCTGCCTTGATGACCTGGAGGCTGCGGCCCGTGCTCTCGCCGATGGCTTTCATGATCAAAGACTCGCCAATTCCGAGCTCGATACCGGCATAGTCAGCAGCCAGCTTATTGATCATGAGTTGTACTGTAGGAAGCAGATCATTCGGGGTCAACCGCAGCACCTGCTGAAGGAAGAGAGAACAATGGGCGAGAATGATCAGGCGTTTTGTGGTCATCTCAACCAGCGAGAAGGTGGTACACAGAGCAGCATAGGGAACTGGATCGCCTGCCTTCCAGTCTGGATATGGGTCTTTGCCGGTGGCTTTCAAAGTGGCCTGCACCTTCGCCATTGTCTTCTTCTTCGCTTCAGGCTTGGCCTCTTCTTCAGCCTCGCTCCCAGACTCCATCTCCTCTTCATCTACATCTGAGATCGGATCCGCTTCTGGAGTCTCCTCTCCGGAGGCCTTCTTCACGACAGGGTTGGGTGATGGTATTTCGGATTTGACAGGGCTTGATGAGGACTTGGAAGGGGACTTCTTGGGTGACTTTTTGGGTGATCGCTTCGGGGAAGGCGAACGTTTCTCTGCGGAAGGAGATCGTTCGTTCGTGACTTTGCGCCGACGCTTAGAGACAGGTTGGACATCTGATCCGTCGCTATCCTCTCCATCCTCGGCCTTTTCTCGCTTCAAGTTCTTGCCCAACTCCACCCCATTGGATTCGGCGCCGGGGTTGGGCTCAGCTCGTTGTTCAGTACTTGCTTCTGCGGATTTGGTATCAGCATCACCTGTAGCTTTTTGCCTCTGTCCACCGAATGCCAGTGTTGTCTGTTTCTTTGGTGCTTGATTGGCGCCCGGATTTGAGCCGAAGAACCTTCTGAAATGACCGCGACATGTTAGCAAGTTCACTGGCAATAGATTCAGGTGGATGGAAATTGAAGACTGGCAGGTGAGTGTTGCAGTGAATCTTCTCTCCACGCACCCAATGGTCAATTGAAAATCGCGCACGTACCCCAATGTCGCCTGTTTGCGACTCTTGTCGTCCGCCATGCTTGTTGAAGATATTGAGATTCCGGTCAATCGCAATACGCCCAAGCAAGAGATCGAGGATCTTGAAGCGATGGCTCGCGATACAAGTGTTCGATGCTGAGTGGATACTGATAAAAATGATGTCTTTGTGTACCGCGTGACTGTAAAGAAGTTTGGGTCGGAGCGCGACAGCGACGTGGGCGCGGACGGAATCCGCAGGCCACGCATAGAAGAGCTTGAGAGATAAGGACCGCTGGCTCAATCCAGTCTGGGAGGGCCTCGGTATATAAGTTCGGCCAAATGAGAATGAAACCAGGCAACAGACACCGATTTAACCTAGCTTCTCCAGGCAGCCTCGAGCCTCTTCTCCGCGCGACGTGACGCGCCTGTCACGTGTAAGCTATCTTGCCAAGATAGGAAGTGGATCACTCACCGCTCTAGCGAGGTGGCAGATCAGGAGGGCGGTGGGGTATTTCCACGGTCATGGCCGGCAGTGATGATCGTGAAGCACAGAGCTTAAGTCTCAAGATGGGTTTGTGTTGCTATTCATTCTAAGGCTAAAACTACTAGAACTGTGCTTCAGATGCTATTTACGCTGACGGGGCTCAACTTCACTCCTAGCCATAATGGCCGACCTACGGCAGGAATCCTTCAAGCTGGTATGCTAGGCCCACCACTGATTATTCTCTAGCGAGTGTCTGACTTCTCATAGCTACGAGAGCCTTGTGTTGAGCTCAGCTCAGTCGGCTTACGGTTTCGTGGGAATAATGCCTCTGCTGCAGATGTCACTCGAGCTCTGGAACCGGTCTATCGTACTCTAAAAGAGCTTACGGCGAGGAACACACTGGACGGGAAGCTTGCCGAATATGCCTTCTTTCCCCTTTCGCATATCTTCAACGAAACGCAACGCCTTCCAGCACGATGCCTTGAATTAGCGGTCCAATGTTTACATCTGCTGATCTCCGATGGCTGGCGAGAGCAGTTATCACCTGCGCTTGGAAAGCAGTTGGTCATCCTGCTGACGCTGATGGTGGGAGGGTCTCCCAATAAGGTTGATGGGCAACAACCACTAAAGGCACAGGTAGCGGAAGAACTGTCCGTTGCATGCTTTGATTGCCTTCGCTCTATTTTTGATATGCTGCAAGGGCCGGTTGCCGACCGAACCATCTTCCACGAGATTGGATCGGCTACGGTTGTCGACCAGACCGTGTATATCTTACTCGAGGGCGTGGTGGATGATAGGTCCGATGACATCGGCATATCGGCTGCAAAAGCACTCCAATCACTCTATTCCCGAATAACTGACCGCATCGTCCTAGCTAGCATCATGCCACGCACTGTCTCTGCACTAGCAAAGGTGATACGTCCTACAACACAAAGTCGGCGGTCCTACAAGCTCTTGGAACTATGCTTGGGGGTCCTGAACCGAATGCTGAAAGTTGTCCTCAATGATCATGCAGTCGCAGATACGGAGAAGGCTCCTGTGGTTCCTGCCGAATCGGATCAAGTGGCTCTCGATGCTTCCTGGCTGAAAGCTACGACCACACAAATCAAACTCGCGCTCGTGAATGTCACCCAGATACGACGCCATCAAAGGCCAGAGGTCCAATCTGCTTTGTTGGATCTCTGTGTGATGGTGATTGAGGACTGTCAGACCAGTTTGAAAGATGCCGTTCCTATGATGGCGGAAACCATTGTTGTCTTGGCCGATAACGAAGGCGATTATCCGAATCAGGCCTACCTAACTCTCGTCCATCTTGCCACTACTTATCCGATCGTGCTAGACTCGCTGAAGGAATCACTTCATACCTGGCTCACGGCCTTCCCGCGAATCATGCAGAGCAACGACGAAACCGCCAAGCAGTGGGGAATTCGACAAATCTCCACTGTCTTCCAAATCTTGTCTCAGCTGCAATATGGATCAGACCTGCTTACGGGTAGTCTAGCTTCTGGCTTGTGCGATAGTATGGGAGCTGTCGTAAAACATGGTACCAACTCCCTGCAGTCAGTATCGATCCCAGATGATTTGCGTTGGGATGTACTTGCCTCCGAGTCCAAGTCTGTAGCCTTCCCACCCGTCCTACTCGAGCATCAAAGTCAGCAGCAAACATTAAAAGACATGCGAGCGTTTATTATGAGACTCAATCTGTCCGAGTCAGGCAACGAAATCACAAGGTCTATTATCAACCGCTTGCATGCCGTATCAGACGATTCAGCTGTGGCCCCATACTGGCTAGCCTTGACCTCTTTGCGAGCACAGTCACAGCAATCCGCCGATTTTGACTCCTTTATTGCCGACGATCATGTGGAAGGAGCTAATCCACTCGTCGAACGTGCTGGCATGATCGAAGAGTTATACTACACTTCACTCACAATTTTGAATGATCTACCCGTTGATGGCTCCGGGGATTGGCGAATGCGAGCTCTCGCGTTGGAAGCTGTAGCTCTTCAAGCTCAGCAATTGGGAGAGGCATTCCGACCTGAACTCATGGATGCCTTGTACCCGACACTGCAATTACTCGCTTCCAACAACACCACTCTCCAGCGCCATGCTATGATATGTCTCAACGCCCTTACTCAGGCGTGCAAGTACCCTGACACTGGCTCCATGATCATCGAGAACGTGGATTACTTGGTCAACTCGGTAGCTTTGAAACTTAACACCTTTGATGTTTCACCATACCCACCACAAGTGCTATTTATGATGGTCAAGCTATGTGGTGCACAACTTGTTCCATACTTGGATGACCTGGTCGACTCTATCTTTGGAATTCTTGATCTCTATCACGGCTATCCCAAGCTGGTCGAAATGATGTTCAAGACGTTGGCTGCTATTGTGGAGGAGGGATCGCGGAAACCGGCTCTATTGACGATTGATAGCAGCCGAGAGAGGGGACCCCATGACAGTCACAAGTCGCATTATCAGCATCTATCCATCTCAACTGTCGCAAGTGATATCGCGAACCGAAAGGCCAAGCGAGTTGAAAACGCCGAAAATGACGTTGGCATTGATGACACCCTCTCACACCCCAAAAAGCCTTGGTCAGAGACTTACGAGAAGCCGCCACCCGAGCCGGAATCCATTGAAGAGTTATTGAAGCAAGTTGAATCCGATGAGCCACTTCCTCCACCCAAGGAACCAGAGGATAGCGAGAAGCCACTTAGCAAAACACACTCCCTCCTTCTTCACATTGTGAAATCTATCCCCTCGCACATGTCGTCTCCATCGCCATATCTTCGACGCTCTCTCCTTTCTATACTCATTGAAGTACTGCCATCTCTGTCTCAGAATGAAAATAGCTTCCTGCCTCTCATCAATGACCTTTGGAACTCGGTCGCTTCAAGAGTCATTTTTCCATCATCATTAGCGGGTGATTCATCATCATCCTCCCTCGTCAACAGATCTCCCGCTGAGTCACGAGGTTCTATCGACCAGCCCGGTAACAACACATTCCAGGAGGAGACCTTTGTTATTACCATGGCTTGTCAGGCGATTGAAGCCATGTGCAAGGGTGCTGGTGATTTCATGGCGTCGCGTGTTGAAACAGAGTTCCCGCGCTGGCAGCGTCTCTACCAGCGCGTCTGGACCCAAGTACGACATGATGCCGAGGCCGCCAATGAGCGACGTGCCCGACAACAGATGAAGGCCAACGTCACCCCGACTGCTAAGGATACAACCATGCAAATAGCAGGCGCGACATCCGAAGGTATGTTCGCATTGACACCATCTCTCGCCATGTCGGGGACCGTCCCCGGCTCCCGAACATTCACACCTCACCACTCTCTGTGGAGGGCTTTAATCTCCCTGTTCATTACTATACTTTCTCGAGTCCGGCTGCCTCTGGAAGCAGGAGATCAGATTTGCGAGATTCTGGGAGCATGGATCGCACTCTTTGTTGGGCCAGAGTATTACTTCCAACCATCAGAACGAGCAGCTTTGCTAGCATCAGATGATGTCTCAAGAGGCATGCTCGAATGGGTGGAAAATGCCATTCGTGCAATGGAGACTTGGAACCCCGATCTGACTTGGTTTATCATGGCCTCACATAGAACCAAGCCATCTGCCTCGCGTGTGTCCGAGATGTTTGATGTCATTGAAGTCTTCGGCGAGTCCTTGCAGTATGCGGTAGTAGCATTCTAACCGCCTGCTGCAAGGTTAATAGCCAAATTACATGTATAAATCAAATTTCATGCATTGATCTCCACTTATTTTGTGGATGTCTAATAACAACTTGAGACCCTTTGTGAACTCCATATGTTGGTCGAACAGTCTCAGAAGCAGCTAAAGCCACCAGACGAGCCGCGTACTTGGAATGATAACATTTTATCATGTACCGCATTCAATCTGAACTGTTTGCCAGATTCTCAACTTGGCCTGCGCAATGGAACTCACTGGACGACAAAATATGGCCGGATCTCCAAGGAATACTCTGCGCCTGGTAGTGACCACACCTCCCTTTGTTGATTAGCTTCATTATCCCCGCCTAAAGTACAATATGGCTCGTAATATGCTCAAGGGAATCTTCAGTAATTTTTCATTCATCAACAATCAAAGCAATATTTTGACAATCAATGGACGAGGCACGAATAAGAATATATTAGCATTCTACTCTTGAAGTCCAGTCAACGATGAAGTTCAAAGCCTTGGAACATCTCAACAGAGAAGCAACGTATTTACCAATATTAGAAGCCGTGGATAAAGGAATGCATTGTTCATCATTGTTGGGCCGAACTCAGAGATAAAAGTATCACAAATCTCCAAACAAAGCCACTGAAATACGCGTTCATTAAACGCCTAAATTCCATCTATTTTAAAGTCGCTTCAGTCTTTGGTCCAACAGGATATATAAGCTGCCGTTTCTCAGCCTAGTATTCATCTCAAAACCGTCAAGCTCCAGTGCTCACATTCGAACTGCATCCATCCAAACCTATCGACGTCCACAATCACTGTTAGTTGACAACCCATCAAACTTTCAACACATATCCATCGAGACAACGATCCACACTTTCCATTATGTGGGTGAACATCTATTACGATGCTAGCGACTGCTACCTAAGTGACCACGATCTTCTGCAGGGCATGTTGTGGCGCCTGGAGGACCACGAAGCCAGTCTTACACACGACCCCGAAGATGAGGATTTTGAAAACTGTTTTTCTTTCCGGGTCCCAGGGTTTATACAGCCACAGGCTTACCTTAATGCGATTAACAGGGTGTTGTCGTGGATTCGACACGTGAACACTCGTGGTCTACCGTTTGACCGCGCGGATGTCTTTCAAAGTGGGCTGGGGTTGAACTTTATGGCACCGCAGTAAGTTTACTATTTCTTGTTAGCTGGAACTCGGGCTGAATCAGTATCTTCTGTCTACTGATGAAATGGAATATACTTCTTTTGCATAGATATCCTTATTAGTTTTTGTAAAGAACTTGTACCTCCTGTTTGCCAATCTGCTAATTTAGGTGGGGCTCTAGTAGAGACTTTTGTAAATTACACAGTGCTAATGTCAGCAATGAGGATCTGACGCATCTGGGCCAAGGATGACATGGTCTTATATGTTCGTAATCCCAGGAGTATGGAATCTATGACTGGACAGTCATCACTGGCCGGTCTATGGAGTATTTGTCATTGCCGAATCAAGGCGATTAGATCTGACTTGTTGGCAAGCGGTCAACATGGCCTTCATGGTGATCATCACAGGTCTTAACTCGACCCGCTCCTCAACGATGCTCTCAACATGGTCACCGATCCAGGTCACTAAAGAGAGGTCGGTGTCAATCTCACTGCGCTCAGGATTCCCAATGATATCAAAGCAGAGGATGAAAAAGGGGATGAATTGGTGAAGCAAGATGAGACTATATCCTTGGTGGTCAGTGACGGCTTAAAGGTCAAGTTTCAGAAGGTGGTTGCTCATGACATACCTTATTCCCCAATATGCATGTAAACTTGATCCTAAGAGAGACTGAAACATCTGTATGGACTTCCTTGAGAAGTCCACAGTCTGGTGTGGTAAACGGTGCCTTTCCTGACTGCATTTCTTGGACTGATGAAGAATGATGAGAAATTTGTAGCTGCTGAAGATCATATCTGCACAGAACCATGTATCGACTTGGGTTCTGGCTATTCGAAGAAGTTCATCCTGTGATATGTTAGTAATCACAGGGCTTAAAAGGTTCAAACGATAGCTTGACAATATCATACCGGATCCCAATCACTCATGATCAACTGCACTTCCTCAAGGAAGCTGTCAACCGTTGCATCATGCGAGGCCGGGTTGTGATCTGGCTCCAAGTCAACCCAGTCTAGGTACTTCATTACCACTAGAGCCAACCGCATAGAAGCCAGAAAATGGATCTGGATGAAGCGAGAAGATTCGTCATCAACTCCGTCAATTGTTGGATCCGGAAGGTTGACTTTCCACGACCCTGGCGGGATAAGAGTCGGCTTTCCGAAAGAAAGTCGGAAAAGACAATCTGTGCGAAGTAAATGCCAGAATTCGAAACGTTTTCGATTTTTGTCTACTTCTGTTTCATCGGCCGGTGATATTTGAGCGAGTGATGGCTGCCAATCCATGTCTTCCGGACTGCCGTCAACATAGAAATAGCCCAGGGCCTTGGCTATCTTCAGAGCATGGCCGAGCATCTTCCAGGCCAATTCGCTATTACAGCTTTCCAGTGCCATCGATACCTGGTAAATGTCAGTAATATATTATTTTGAAGCAAAGGATATACACCACTTGCCATCAGAATTGCCCCATAGAGATCGGCGGGGGTATTCTGAATGTGGTCTTGCCAGCGGTTGGTCAGCTCCAGACATTTCCGGTAAAGATATTTGATCTTGCCGCCATTATCCCTATGAGCGCCGGGGTCCAGGATAATTCCTTGCAGGCCGAGGGCGTAATAGATGATCTGAGAGATGTAATCAAGTTGAACATGGGGATTTTCCAGAAGGTCAGGGATGGATAGCAGGAAACTTTTGTCCAAAGGTATTTTAAATCCTTCGAATTGGTAACAATCGTAATAATCTGACTTTGCTATTAGAACAGCCAGAAGCCAGAAGCCAGAAGCCAGAGGTAAGAGACAAACTCACTCCGGAGAAATTTTCTTGCAATCTCTTTTGGCATATCGGCGCTCGCAGTCGGCTCATTGGTTGGTGTGTCCTGCAGATGTTCAATTTTTGACATTGCAACAGCAATGGCCCGGACGCAATTTTCATTTTCAAAGAAACGAGATTCGACCCCTTGCAGGTGACTGAATACATTTGAAAGAAGCAGGGCCCGGCTTTGGGGATCCCTGATGCGACTCAAGATACCACCGATCACACCGGGCGGGACTGGGCTATTGGACCTCTCGGGGAATACAGCTGTAGAGTGGTCCGAATTGACGGATGGGCGTGACATCGAACGATCAACATGTTCGTCGTTGTCTGAAGCTGTTTCCAGGCCACAATGCTCTTCCAGGCGTTTAAGTCGATCGAGAACGTCTGCTAGAACATTGTTTTCACTGACATCGTTTCTGTAATGAGCCGTTAGTCAAAAGCTCCATCATGAAGAAGCCGATAATAGGTTAGCATTTACCCTTGTTTCTTGGCTCGCGGCTTTCTGGACCGGTATATACAATCGGCACCAATTGACGTGCACCTACCACATTCAGGGCCGACTCGATCACATCGAACCTAGAATCTAATTACTTTGGCTGGTCTGTGACGCTGGGGGTGGTACAGAGTGTTACCTTTTTGAATTGGCAGCGACTGCACTAGGATATCTAGGTCAGCACCCAATTAGAATTGTCAGAAAGAAAAGGCTTACCGCAATAGTCTCTAATGTGCGCCGGCTACCCATAATCTGGTGTTTTCTCAAAACTGTCCGAAAGAGTTGGAGGATTGAAGAAGCGGGAATAGCAGAGTCCGTAAGCCCGGGGGAAGAAATAAAGCGGACACGGTGGAGCCGGTGATTCGGGGATTCGGATAATCCCGAAAGTCCGGGATGGTCTGAGAGCTCCAAGTTCTCCACTTTTGGGGTCGGGACATACAACCAAATCCCACCTGCCTACTCTTCGGGCCCCAGCTTCTCGTGTTTCCAGCCTATCAAAAGCCAGGCCAGGTTGCTGAAAACTAATCTGAGTCGGGTAAGCCATCGTATTCCCCGTCTTCAAGGCAGAGACATTCATACCACCATTCCATAAATATAGATCAACTGTGACCCCCTTCTCTTTGCTCCATGATTCATTTCACGCATCACATACTCGCTGCTGCTTGGAATCATGGGGCTCTCTCCTACCACCGATCAAGGGGAGACCGTACCAGAGGACAAGAATCAGATGCGAGAGTCGCGCTCAGCGTCGACAAATGATCGACCCAACAATGAGCCTGCTGTTACCAAGGAGGATTCCAAGGTAGAAGCTACGGCCGAGCAAGCTACTTCGCTAAAAGACTATTTTGTACGCCTGCAGCATCGTGTGGAGATTAAGATCCCAGTGCGATCTGTTACTAATAGGACATAGAGAGTACTGTCTTATACGACCCGCAAAGATCGCGTGGTCCTCGCCATCGCCCTGGTATGCTCTATTGGGTCCGGTGTGGTACGTGGCTGGCTCTATACACTTCATATGACATCGGAGAAACTTACAGCTGGTTTTGCATTAGCCCTTACCAATCATGAACATTGTGTTCGGTGGACTGGTCGGCGAATTTAGTTCATATTTTACCCCCGGAACATCCACCACTGAAGCGGACTTCAAAGCGTCGGTCAGTCGGCTCAGGTAGGCCTGATCATTTTCTGTCCTCAGATGCGACACAGCTGACTCTCCGAAAGTTTGTATATCGTCTACCTTTTTATTGCAAAATTTACGTTGACATATTTCTCCATGGTATCTATCCTATCCACGCTCCGCAATGTTCAGTGTTGCGCGGAATCTAACATGCTCTATTCCTAGTACTGCTTTCGCGTCATCAGTCTTCGGGTCTCCGCTGCCTTACGATTGGAGTACATGAATTCGCTTTTCGCCCAGCCGATCAGCAAACTGGACCAAGTCTCCGTTGGAACAGTCGTTAACGCAATCACCACTCTCTCCAATTCAATCCAGCAGAGCATCTCAGACAAGCTGGCGATTCTCTTCCAATCCACCGCACTCCTTATCGCTGCCTACATTATCGCCTTCAAATACTCATGGGCGCTCACGCTCGCCACCAGCTCTTGCCTTCTCTTCATTCTCGTCGTCTGCTGCCTGACGCTTCCCGCTATCTCTCAGATCCAACAAAAGGTGGACAAAGCGGATGAAAAACATTCAGCGATTGCAGCAGAAGTGTTTGGCTCGATCCGAACTGTCATCTCGCTGGGCGCCGAGGCACCTTTGGCGAAAAAATATCACCAGTGGGTCATAGAGTCCCGGAATCGAGGCCGGAGCATGGCTATCATGCTTGGAGTCCAGTTCGGCCTTATGTTCTTTGCTATATACGCCTCTTATTCACTGGCATTCTGGCTTGGGCTGAAGCTCTACCGGGAGGGTCACATTGCAGACGTCAATACGGTTATCATGTAGGTTGACTTGTATTACTTTTACTACTATTGCTAATCACGGTTCGCAGTGTTTTCTTCTCGATCATGATAGCAGTCAGTGTTCTTGGAGGCATTGCTACTCCATTGACGATGGTTTTCAAGGCAGCCAGCGCATCGACCTCGTTTTTCGAAATTATAGACTCAGAGAGGATTGTTGCAGGCGGTGTTCAAGATTCTGAAGCGTTGGCTCAGGGTGATATAAATTTCCTCAATGTTGAATTCACATATCCGACAAGGCCAGAGAGCAAGATTCTACGGGAAATGAACGCTCGATTCGAAAGGGGCAAAACTACTGCATTGGTTGGTCCGTCGGGGTCTGGGAAAAGCACTATCGTTGCTCTTCTTGAGCGATGGTATACCCCGGAAGGAGGAAGGATCTCTCTCGGTGAGCGGAATATCGAGGAGCTGGATCTCAAGTGGTGGAGATCTCAAATCGGTCTCGTACAGCAAGAGCCATTTCTCTTCAATGATACCATTTTCAAGAACATCTCATTCGGTCTGGTCGGCACAAAATGGGAAAATGAGCCTGATTCTGTGAAGGCCGAATTGGTGGAAAATGCATGCAAAGAAGCATTTGCAGACGAATTTATCGACCGTCTTCCAAAAGTACGTTCACAGTGCTTCTAGCGAGTATTCTCCGTCTAATATTCCCAGGTATACGACACCATTGTGGGAGAGAATGGCGCCAAATTGAGTGGTGGTCAGAGACAGCGCCTAGCCATTGCTCGAAGTATCGTGAAGCAGCCGACCATCTTGATCCTGGATGAAGCTACCAGCGCCATTGACGTGCGTGGAGAAAAGATAGTTCAGGCAGCCCTGGATCGGGTCTCTAAAAACCGTACTACAATCGTCATTGCACACAGACTGTCCACCGTTCGGCGTGCGGATCGCATTCTCGTTCTCAGGAGCGGTGTCATTGTTGAGCAAGGAACGCATGAAGAGCTTCTTGCGATGGAGGACGGGCTGTACCGAGGCCTGGTCAACGCTCAGAAACTCGAAATCGCCGCCGAAGAAGAAGCTGATGTAACAGAGGTCACAGAAGCCTTGGTGGAGGAACTCGATCGTTCCACTACAATCAAGTCTGAACAGCCACAGGAAGACCGCAAAGAGAAAGCCAAGACGCGTGGCTTTTTCCGAAGCACTGGAATTTTTATCTACGAGGCACGGACACGTTGGTTCATTTGTCTGACTGCGGTCCTTGGGGCACTGGGAGCTGCATGTAGGTTGTGTGTTTTCAACTTACTCTTTACTTTACTGACTCGTATAAGCTGCTTTCCCTTTGCAGAGCTGGCTGTTCGCAAATCTCATCGACGTATTCCGCCTTACTGGACAAGAACTGACGGATGGTGCCAACTTCTGGGCCTTGATCTTCTTCGTTCTTGCTCTAGGAGTTGCACTTTGCTACGCCACGGTCGGATACTCGGCCAACCGACTTTCTGTTGTGAGTGATTGATAAGTTCATACCAGATACCATCAGACTGTCTAACATAATCTAGGAAATATCATCTTCCTGTCGAACAGAATACTTTCAGAATATCCTAAAAAAACCCGTTCCATTTTACGATATGAACGAAAATGCCTCCGGCTCGCTAGTCTCGCGTCTAGCCACCGACCCCAAGCAAATTCAGGAGATGATCGGCCTGAACGGCATTTTCCCAGTGATTTCGGTATTCAGCATGATAGGCTGCATCTCGATTGCTTTTGCCTTTGGTTGGAAGCTCAGTCTTGTGACCGTCTTCGCTGCCCTCCCTTGCGTCTTCCTCGCCGCCTTCATGCGCATCCGGTACGAGCTAGAATTCGAAGCTCTCAATGCGGAGGTATACTCGGGTTCCTCGCAGTTTGCAGCAGAAGCTATCCATGCATTCAGAACTGTCTCGGCGTTGACCATGGAAGACTCGATTCTCAATCGATACTCGACTCTCTTAAAACAACAACAGAACAAAGCCTTTCGCAAAGCTTGGTTGGCAACTCTGGTGTTCGCTTTCTCTGATAGCGTTGAGCTCTGCGCCATGGCACTTACCTTCTGGTACGGCGGCCAGCTTCTCGCATCTAGGGAATACCAGCCGGCTTCTTTCTTTGTGGTTTATATGTCAATTATCCTCGGTGGGCAACAAGCTGGTCAATTCTTTAGCTTCGGGCCAAATATTGCTCAGGCTACTTCCTCGGCAAACCGCATTCTGAGCTTCCGACCAGCTTTGGATGAGGTCAATGCTGCTCCCAAGAACCACATGCCCGATCAGTCCCGTAGGTGCGGAGCTCGTATTGAGTTCCAAAATCTTGCATTCAAATATGAGTCACAAGAAGTACCTCTCTTCACGGGTCTTGACGTTACCATCGAAAGTGGCCAATTCGTTGCATTTGTGGGTGCATCCGGATGTGGTAAGACCAGTCTGGTATCAATCCTAGAGCGATTCTACAATCCATTCCGGGGCACCGTTCTCCTAAATGGTGAGGATGTCAATGATATTGACCAAGGATCATACCGAAGATCGTTGTCGCTGGTAGCCCAAGAACCGCAGCTGTTCGATGGTACGATCCGTGATAATATTACTTTGGGGCTGGAGAGCTCCGAATACACGGAAGAGGAATTAATCCAAGCCTGTATGGACGCCGAGATTCACAGCTTTATTACTTCCCTTCCGGAGGGATATTCCACAGAGCTAGGGATTAATGCACAGACGGCTCTCAGCGGAGGCCAGAGACAGCGATTGTGCATTGCTCGGGCATTATTGCGGAAACCGTCTTTGCTTCTCTTGGATGAGGCGACATCAAGCCTTGACTCCCAATCGGAGAAATTGGTCCAAGCCGCTCTGGAAAGGCTGGCTGCGAGGAGAAGTATGACTATTATTGCAGTCGCTCACAGACTAGCGACTATCCAGAAGGCAGATGTTATCTTCGTCTTTGGGGAAAGTCAAAGTGGGAAGGGATCGCGGGTCGTCGAACGGGGCTCACATCACGAGTTGTTGCAGAACCGGGGGACATATTGGCAGATGGTTTGTGCCACTTCCTTTGGCTCTTGACTTCTTTTCAGAAAATCACTAACCTTTTTAAATGCTATAGTGCCAGGCTAATGGGCTCGACCGGTAATGGCCCCGGTGGTGTTGAAGTACCATTTGTCTCCGCTCACAGTATATGTACCATACAATATGTATAATCTTCTCCACCCACGGCAGGATACAACCCCTCACATATCATTTCCAGATCCTTCGTAGCTTGAATTTAGCCACACGAAACATCATTTCATGGGGCATTGTAATTTAGTCTCATAAATCACATTTGACAAGGACCGGAGTGTTTTTAATTTAGCGGGTACCAGGAAAAAGGCGGAATATAACTCATTTTCCTTACTCGGCTCACGCTCCAAATGAACTCCGACAGACTAGCCATGGACCGGAAATGTAGCTGACGGAGTATTTTCTGTCTAGCGGTATCTTGCCCAAAATCGGTGCGATCCTCCACCTAGGAGCCTGGGGCACCATCGCCAACCTGGCTGCCGGTGGTATAGTTTCCAAAGCAAGCCTCCTGATACATAGCCTTCTTCTTTAGAGTCGGCACCGCCTTCAAGAACTTCTCCACGGGACAGAAGCCATTCTTAGCCTTCTCACAGCCAACAAGACCACTCAAAGGCAGAGGCGCATTGTTCAACAAAAAGCGAATGTAGTCCGTAGTATGAGAGGTAGATTCAAGTTCAGGGTTCTCATAGAGAATAGGGTCCAATTCATCGAAAGAGGTGTCACGGGGACAAGTCCAGATCTCCGAGAAGAAACGAGCGCCGAAGGGAGTCATATCGGAGAGAGAGAAGGTACGGTTGGCAGGTGCGTGATCCACATCGCCAGGCAGACCCTTGGGTCCGTAATTGAAATGCTCGAGGCCGAGGGCTGAGATGACGGACAAGATGATATCGTCGTGAGACATGTCCAAATAGAATGGTTGTCCGAAGGGGAACTGCGCGGTGTTATCGTCGTAAGTATAGTTGATGCTGGTATCGCTGGAGGTGATGAGCTTCTGCTGGAGGCGAGCTGCAAGCTCCAGCACATAACCGATTCCTTGCGCGCGACCGGTGGGGGATCCATAGGCGTAGTCGCCGTAGTACTGGACATCGACGTTGTAGGCAAAGTCCTTCCATTCTTGCTCGGTGAAGAGGGAACAGAAGGATGAGCCACCGAGGCTGGTGACCTCATAAGCGCAGAGGTTCTGCATGGCTAGGACATCCATAGCAGTCAGGTTGAAGTCATTGGGGAGATAAGAAGAGAGTCGAGCGCGGGCATCCTGGGTGTAACGGGAGATGAAGACCTCCGCATCGTCATCGCTGACAGTGCGTTAGAGAAATTGAGTTAAGATTGGCAGTCATCATGCACTTACCCCTCGGTCATGTCACCGGGGCAGGACTCATATGAAGCCAAGGTGTTGTTGAAGGGGTAAACCTCCGGGATAACGACCAGGTCATATTGCTCATACGAGCTGTTGGCGCCACTGTTGCCAAAGAAACCACCTAGACATCCAAGTAAGTATAATCCCAACGAAATACGACTGAGCGGATCCACATACTAAGCCACCAGCGAGCACTCTCCAGAATTCGAGACTGAGAGGTAGTCCGGAAAACCGGCTTAGGACGAGCGGTGCCATTGGGGTAAACATTGAGAGACGAATTCCACGCGGCCACATTATCGCGATCGGGGCGGTACAAGAGACGACCGTACTTGATCCAGAAGTGGGCACCGGAAGTAGCCTCAGTAGCTGCACCAGTCTCCATGAGGATATCCTCGCCAATGACGTACTTCCAGCTGTTGAGGAACTTCAGCGGTCCACTGGCCACAGCTTTACCAGAGTGTGTCTTGGAATAGTTGGTCAGCTTGGCCGCAAAGTCCTGCATGCCCTCGCCATCCAGGGGGTAGTTTGTCGGGTATCGCTCAGCATGGCGGTGCAAGATGTGCACTTGGGAAAGCTCGCATCCCGATGGCATGCCCTTGGGAAGTCCAAAGCTGTCTGCGTCTTTGTACGGGCTGAGGTTGGCCCAGCTTCGAGTCATGTCAAAGCCCGACGCGTAGGTCGCACCTGTGGGCGCAGATGCTGGGGCCGACGAAGAGGCCGCAGCAGCCACTGAGGCCAATGCTGCTCCAGCAAGAAGCTTCATAGTGAGTGAGCCGGTATGAATTGAGTAGAATTGAAGTCTAGATGGCGCGTGGTCGTGAATGCACTGCCCGTCACACGCGCTGGAATGCGGGAGTTGAGATTCAGGTCTATACAATCGAGTTGGATGCGATGGGTTGTAGGGCTGGATTCCTGCTCTCTCTTTGGTCGGTCGCGCTAGAAGAAAATGTGTAGACTTGGCAACGGCCAGGAAAATGATATGCGCCCGGGCAAATCGGTTCAATTAAGGATGGGGAGAGCAATAATTGAAATTTTAGATACGAGAATGGGCGGATCCTCTTGGGTGAAACCTCGTGGCTCCTCATGCTGATCTTTTCCTTCGGACGACCAATTCTTCCGAGTTCCTCCTTCCCTGAATGGCCTGGTAGGCATCGTAATCCTGGGAAACGTTAACTCTTACTGTCCTAGTCCAATGCTGGTTAATAAGGTCCCAAAGTCAATTATTTACTTATCGTGCCTTGGTTCGTCGTACAATTCCACTCAACGGCACGCGACCAATAACTACAAACGACAATCTCCGAAATGGCTTCGGCGGAGCCCCGCTGCCCGGTGCAACTCCACCAAGCTGCGATGATGTCCTAGAGCTCATGATAAGCGTTTATTAGTCAGTTAAGCATGGGCATTCAAATCAAATCTGGCGGAGAAATTCCTTTTCGACTTCGAAATTCCACAAGAAACGAAAACAAACATTTTTGGTTTGTCACGTGCGTCGCCTCGCATCCGCGATTCTGGCCAACGCCGATGACATCATCAGCCGTAGCCAGGGCACTTTACCAGGAGTAGTTTCCTTTCCTATCTTTGGCATGCTCCATCTGCGATATTTTAACATCTTTGACTTCTTCATATCGCAGTTCGAGCATAATTTCTAGAGCCTCTCAGCTCTTATTCATTGCACGATGTCAGATAAGCTCAAGAACATGGCCGTCGCCGAAGCCAACAGCGCTCGTGCAGCATCCCAAGCAGTCCTCAAATCGGGCGCTTATCTGTACCCGATCAAGGTATGCCCGGCCTGTCCTCAGTGCAGGGCCGAAGCTGATTGTTCAACTAGGGTATTATCTACTTCGCAACCCACAAAGATCTTTGGGGTCCCTTTATGTCTCGCGTCGGGCGCACTCTCGGTCTAGGAATGGGCATTACGTCATTCATGTTCTTCTTCACCTATGTGCCCCAGATGGCCATCATGGCCTTTACCAGTGGTCCACTGGCCGCTGTTTCTGCAGCTTTGCTAGTCCTCACTGAAAGCGCGACCATCACTAATCTTCTATCTCGCTCCTTCATGGTAGAAGATGCGCTGATCGATACGTTCGATGGAACACTGATTGCCCGGGATCAGGAACCTCTTGTCGCCCAAGGTCGTCAACTCAAGCCTCGATCGGGGGGAAGGGATGCGGTGGCAAGACTGGGCAAGATTATTTCGCGCCCACTTTCTAGATTCACACCCCAGGCTATCTTTAGATCGCTGATTTACTTGCCCTTGAACTTGATCCCGGTAGTTGGGACAGTGCTGTATATCGCCGTTCAAGGCAAGCGTGTCGGACCGGCACTGCACACACGTTATTTTGAATTGAAGGGGTGGAATGCCCAACAACGGGAGGAGTGGATCGCAAATCACAGGGGCGCATATACTGGGTAAGTCAACAGCCCCGGAGACCGTTCATGAGGATCAATGATATGGTCATTTCTTGGTTGTCTCTACAAGCTAACAACCCCCGAATAATTGTGACTAATTATTGCTTAGACTTGGCATAGCTGCATTTGCTCTAGAGATGGTCCCGTTCGCCTCCATTGCTTTTTCTTTCACCAACACAGTTGGAGCAGCACTGTGGGCAGCAGATCTGGAAAAGGCATCAAAATAAGCAGTGGAAAGGAGCTACAATTGGAAGACGGCGAGCAGAGGTGTATTCGAGAGATCATTGTCGTAGCATTCAAAGCCGGGAAGCATAATGATAATCCTTACAAGGGAAGACCAGTAATGACATGTTGAATTGTTGATTTGCGAAAAATGGGCTCCTTGGGCTTGCGTAAGTTTCCATTTTGTTTGTTGAACATTAAAGGCATTCTTTTGGTCGGCCAAATAGAGGCTATAGTAGTCATCCTGCCAAATTTCTGCTTCATCATAGGCCAAAGATGTCAAGATAGGTGGCTACTTCAAACATACGGGAAGCTCATCGTCTTCTTAACAAGATTTAAGCTTCAAGTCCGCCATCTTCGCATTCATATCAACACCGGCAATCTAAATAACTTTTACCGCGAATTTAGCCCGAGACCGCGTTTAGCAAAGGTCTATGGCAGAAGGTTAGGATGTTTGAAATTTGATTGCTTGGATATATCTTGGCTAGCAAATCGTTCGGGTAAGCCCGCTCAGCACTCCGTGGCATTCCATAATATCACCGGGGAAAAAGAGAAAGACTACGACGGTCGTTTTATTCACATGAATCATGCACTGGACCAGTGTAGATGGCGAGGGGTGATCGGCTTCCAATATCCCGCAATAGCGACGGAGGTGCCCAGGGTAGGCGATGTTTAACGAAAGCCCCGGGCCATTAGGCCAGTGCGGCGAATCAGCATGCGCTGACCCGGGGCATGCATCGACCCGGTTGGGGCTGAGATGCTAGCGGGCTTGGCAGGGCAATGGCTGCCTTAGTTAAAACCCGCCGACGAGCATCTGGTCGATGGTCAACTTGCAGATCTCAAATCATGGGCGAAGAGAAATCCAAAGACGATGGCATCCCATTTGGCACAATACACCAGGCGGCCTCACGCGGTCGCTATGAGACGATAAAGGTATTACTAGAAAGCGGAGCCGATCCCGACGAAGTGGATGAACGAGGATGGGGGCCGCTGCATTTTGCCGCCGACAAAGGCCACTGGAATATTGCGAGACTTTTGTTGGAGAAGGGTGCAACTCCCGGCTTGATCAATGGGAGTTGCATGACACCACTTGACTACGCGGTTTCTGGCGGATACCTGGAAATTGTTCGACTACTTCTCGAATGCGATGCTTTGCTCGCGGACCGCTTCACTGGGAAAAGTACCCACCCACTCCTTGTTGCAACTACGTGGGAAGACATACCCATGATCCGGCTTCTACTGGGTGCAAAGGTTCGAACAACCGTCAGCGATATCCACGGCCAAACACCCGTTCATCTGGCCGTCAAGAAAGGCAATTTGGAGATTTGCAGACTTCTCCTTGAGCATGACGCGCAGCACCCGCCTTCGGGCTTGAGTCGGATTTTTGCCGGCAAACCAGCAGCGTCGAGAAAAGACTCCAGTGATCACTTCCCCCTCTTCTACGCCGTGGAGAGTGGGAATTGCCCGATGGTGGAGCTATTACTGAGCACTTCCGCGGCTTCCCCAAAGGCCTGTGATTGGCACCAAAAGCGAATATTCCATCAAGCTGTCAAGTCGGGAAATCTCGAGATGGTCGAAATATTTCTGAAAAATGGGGCGCCGGTCAATATGAAAGGTCAGGATAGTACCAGCGGTCTTCATATCGCAGCGCACGAAGGCGACGTAAAGATGACAAGACTCCTCCTGGAGTGGGGTGCCTCGATTACCCAGAAGAATGGGGGGCTTTCGACTCCGGAACAGGTCTCACGGAACGCGGAAGTGTCTATGATCTTAAAAAATTATAATAAGAAGCCTGGGGACTTAAAGGCGACTAAACAGAAGTCGAAGACCTCAACTAAAGGGGTTCCGGTGCCTCCACCGGAATATTCTGCCTTGCCTCCGAGCATGACCACAGGATCCAAGAATTAAAAAGCTTACGACTTTCATGGATTTATACAGATGCTATACGAAGCTTAAGTACGGCATATCGGATGACACGCCCTGTTCTCCAAATTATATGGTCGTATAATATTGGAGTCCTTAGTACAAGGTTGTATGATAAGTCCAGGCTTTAAAAAGCCATAATTACTGGCACTTGTATACATATGCGAGATTTTGTATAGACTTGGTAGGTCATCGCACAGAATGATAGTTAATCCGGGAATAGGTACATATACGGTATGTTCATGTTTGTCCGTCTATCAAGCTTAGAAGTATCCCGATTAGGAAATATTCATGGAAACTGCCTCTTCCTCTTCTACCTCTACCTCTTCCTCTTCTTACGTCCCTCCTCGTCGTTCTTCGTTATTATTACTTTTTTACCTTTAAAATCTGCTTCCTCTTACTAATTCCGGACATTATTCCTTTCCTCTCTCTCCTTAACAGACTTTACAAATTCCCCGCTATCACCACGATGGCACCGCAACATCCATGCCCATATCACGAGAGCGACGAATGTGATAGAATATTTCGAAGTCTAGGAGAGGCGCCACTGCCTTCTTTTTAGTACTGAATAGCTCCTGGCAGTCAAATTTCCATATATAAGAGTAAGGGCTATTAGCTTTTCGTGCATCTCCTTTCCCCGCTATCACCACGATGGCTCCATAATATCTATACCCCTATATAGGGGAGTTTGACTGCCACGAGCTATTCAGTACTGAAAAGAAGGCAATAGCGCAACTTATGGACTTTGAAATATTCTATGACATTCTGCGCTCTCGCGATATTGGCATGGATGTTGGGGTGCCATGGTGGTGATAGCGGGGAATCTGTAAAGTTTGTAAAGGAGAGAAAGCGAGACACCTAAAAAGAAAGCCGTGAGCGTGTCAGGGGGAGTTTCCACGGAGAAAAGGAAGAAAATCGGAGCTAAATTTAAAAGGAGGTTGGCGGGAAGATGCCATATTTCTCATGAACGCTAGCTAACTGATTCGAATGTAACTTCACTCTGTGTTTGCTTCGTGGGGTGCGAGCGTTACGTGGATATTAGATGGGACCCAATCCAGGTCGACGGGGTCTTCGGGATGAATTTTGAGGACGAGGGCACATCAATTACATGCAAGAACTGGCCTTCTAACTCAAACAAGCTGAGCCGTGGTCAAGTCATTTTGGATGCTCTGGTTGATGGAAACACGGCATTGGCTATGCTTTTGCAGTAGCCCACACAGTGCGAAGCGGCCCCAGTACAGGTCTTGACGGGTAAACAGCGAGGCTTTGTGGTTAGAAAGCGCGAATTATGGCTTGGATCTTCTCTACAATCTCCAAGGTTCCAGCGGGTGAATCTTCAAGCCCCTCTGTATGGTAAACGATGGAGCATACCGTGATCCTGGGGTGTCTGCCACCACCAACCCTTAGATTCTTCAAGTTACCCAAGAGTCCCATCAACCGAACTCTTTCGCAGAACCTGCAGCCATTCTGATAAACTCAGCACCGTACCTGTTTCCATGGACCTGTTAAATAAGGATCATAGCCAGTAAATGATTGAGTATCAAGTACGCGGAGTGAATTGGACGCTAGATCGGTGTTGCCACGACTCCATTATGATCCTTGAGCAGTACAATATCATCGTCTCGTCGGTAAGTGACGTATAGCACTTCATACAGATTATCGTGTCTTCTCTACTCGGTAAACGAGAAATGCGCAGTATTGATCGGGCTGGTGAATCATTCCCGCTTCTTAGCTACATTATTACTTTACCGCAATATTTGCATATTTGAGTGACCCGTAGAATGATACGCTTTTATTACAAGATACCTTCATAATGACGAAAGCAAGCCAAGCATATGATCAACCTATACTGTGCTACTTTGTTCAAGTGCCGTCACACTAACCGCGACCGAGGCACATCCATACTCAATCGGCAGACAGCAATTGCCGTACCCTTTCCCTCGTCAGTGGACCACTAGCATCTAAACATGCCCTAACCTGCAAGTCCGCTCGGACATTTCCCCATATTCTAGGTAACAACAGTGTTAGTCAAGCATTTCCGCAATGCGGGGTATAGACGATCGGAAATGCCGAAGAACAGCCGGGGGTTATATAAGTAAAACTAACTGCCTACACAAGGTAATATTAGCTTTACCATCTAGCACTGTTGAACACGTAATTATCAAGATTTTCATAATGAGGGTTTTATCCATCGATGGCAATGGGGTCACAACGGCTCTGCAGTTCCTTGCCAGTTTCCTCTTGACACAGATCGGCATGGCAACCAAGACCCCCCAGCCACCTAAACTATCATTTCTCTATACCGCATATGTCGAGTGTGAGCCAAATCTCATGAGCACCATTGCTGGACCACACGGTATACGCGAGTCTATCCCCATCGTTGGTGGGAACTTCAGTGGCCCTCATCTATCAGGTACCAGAGCCTCCCTCACTTGTATCCTTCCAAGAATAATCAATCAAAGGAGCATCTAACACGAGATAGGCAAAATCCTCAACGTCGGGGCAGACTGGGGTCTAGTCGATCCTCGAACGAGTATCTTCTCAGCAGACACTCGATACAATCTACGCACCGACGACGGGGCTGATATCTATATTCAAACCTCTGGTCCGCAAAGTCCGGATGGTCATTTGCACCTGCGGCTTGTGTTTGAAACGGGGAGTCCAAAGTATTACTGGTTGAACAATATCGTTGGTATGGCACCAGTCGCATCCAAAGATGAGGGTATCAGTTGATTGTTTTCGTTCCTGACATTTACTCTAGCGATCGGCATATTAACTGGTCTTCCATCAACGGGGAACTTGAGCCTGCTGCGAATTGATGCTTGGAATGTAAGTTGTGTCAACGCCCTCAATTCAATATTCAGGCTGCTAATTGTTGTTGCAGTTTGCTTCCGACTGGAATGCGACACAGTTTGTAAATAGCATCACGGCTGCGTGATCGAGCAAGCAACCAGGGCTCCCTTCCGATGTGGCGCCCGAATAAACGGTATTCTACTGACTGGGCGGGTTAGCGTCTACCACTGATGGTTCAGAGATCTTGGTTCCGCTCCAGCTAAGGCTCAAGGCCAATCTCTGGAGCTCAAGAGAAAACAAGATTCGAGTATGACCAAATCCAAGGAATTCTATGGTTGTGTTGTGATTGAAATAAATCCCTACTGGTTAACAGTACTCGAAGAGAAGTAGAGGTCAAGGAGTGGCGATTGGTGAGCTAAGCTAGATAGAACCTACGATCAAGGCTGTACTAAAAAAAACTCGACAAGAAGGTAAAACGGATCCCGAAAGCAAGATGGCCTCGGAGCCAAAGAGCGATAAGTTAGTAATCACGTCAAACTTGAAAAGGCGATAACGTTAAATCCAGCAAGAAAGACGTGGAATGCATGTAGGCATTGTCACACAACGACCTGCTTCATCTACTCGCTATCCTCCTCGCTGTCCTCCTCGTCCTCGCTTTCGGCATTCTCCAGCCACTCCAGGAATGGTTGGGCAGCCTTGCGGATCTTCTTGCTGGTCGAAAGGTCGACGTACTTCTTGCTAGCCTTGGCGCCCCAGGCCTTGAGGGTTTCCTCAGAGACCAGGTCGTTCTGGTAGTAGGCAAGCAGAATGGCCGGCACCTGGGCGACCAAAGCGGGGCGGTCCTGGCCGACGAAGCGCTCGGTGCCACCAAGGAAAGCCTTCTCGTGGCGCTCGGAGGTAATCATCTTCTTAAGGAGCCCTGCGCGGTCCTCAACCTGCTTGGCGATCTTGTCGTCGAAGATGCTCTGGGCCAGGACGGCGACGGTCTTGTGCTTGGATTCGATGCCAAACTCCTTGGCCTTCTTGTAAATGTCGATGTCGCTGACCTTGGTGACGCCACCCTTCTCCTCGGCAGTCTCCACGATCCAGCTGCCGAGCTGCTCGTAGGACGAAGGGCCATCAGCCTCGTCATCCTCGTCCTCCAGAACGAGAGAGCGCTTCAGATCAGAGGGAAGTTCCTTGGCACGAGCCTTGACGGCCTCTTCAGACACGTCGAAAGCCCAATCGTCGTCTTTGATCTCGGTCTCCACCTCGATGGTCTCAGCCTGGGACTTGATGCGGCGGGTGAGCTCATCATCGCTGCCGGCATCCTCGGCATCACCATTCTCCTCACCGTTCTCGGAGTTGTTGCTGTCGCCAGGACTGGCGTCCTGATCGCCGTTGGCAGCGGATTTCTTCTGCTCACGGCGAGCCTTCTTATCCTTCTTCTCCTTCTTGCCACCCTTAGGGTTGTTGCGCACGATGAAGGTGCTCAGCTTGAGACGGGGGTCGACATCGGTGCGCTGACCGCAGGCCTTGCAATCCAGGGTGATCTTGTCATCCTTGATGTTCACATCGGTCTCGGGGTTCTTGCACTTCTTGCAAAGCACAAACTTGGAAATGAACCCATCAAGGTAATCCTGGAGCTTGGGGGCGTCGTGGGCACCGTTGATGATCCAACGGTCATCGGAGGGCTTAGCATTGGCCTGGGCACCAAGTTCGAAGCCGAAGTACTTGATGACGTACGCAGGGGGGCGGCTGAGGGAGTGGGCGACGGAGGTCAAGTTGACAATGACGGTCTTGATACCGTTGCCCTTGCCTTCAATCTTGGACTGGATCTTCTCCATCTTGTAGCGGTAGAAGGGATCGGTAACATCCCGGCGAATGTTGACGGTAGCCATGGTGACGGTTAGAAGTGGTTATGGTGATGATTTTTTTTCACGAGAACGGAAGGACGGGATTGCGAAAGGGGATTGTGACGGAAATTTTGTCGACTGAACAAGACATGCGTGTCAAGTTCGGGTTTTTTGGGTAAATATTGGGTGGTGAGATGGTGACGGTTTCTGTTGTAGATGACAGAGTCACAGTGGCAACAGGAAGTCCAGCGATCGGGTTTCAACCACAGGACCGGAGGTGTATGCTACAAAGTCTCGGCGAGCGAAACGTTTGCAGCTTGAGCGGCAGGTGGTGTTCGAAATGTTGCACGGAGGACGAATACATGAACAAGTTGGCAGCAGACTTCCTGATTTGAATTCTCTTAAGGGCGAGAACGACCAGAGGTGTTCTATGAGGAGACCGCGAGTTAGATGCTGAAGACCCTGTGGTGGGCTGTTGTAGGAAGAGATCATGGGCGAAGCCAAACTAACCAGCTGAGTATGAATAAACGTGAGAGCGGAGGCGTGAACTGTGCAAAACAGCCGACGCAGATATAAAGGGCTTCGCAGTGATCCTGGAGGCCAGAGAGATGTGTGGGAGGAGATGGAACTTTGGAGAGCAGAAGTGGGCAAAGAGGAAAAGAGGATTTTAAGCGGGTCCGGCTTATGTCATCCAGCACGTGTCTCGGATTTAGCAGGCCGTTGAACATGAGGTCGGCCCCGAGTATTCGCCAGTTCGGCAAGAGACGACTGGATTCCGAGTTCAATACTCTGTAGTTAAAGTAGTGAAATAGATACACCTAGATCAAACCGCATAGCTTCTTTCTGCTTATTTCAAACTCAAAAATATACTTGTCAATAATGGCCAGTGCTGTGCGATGAACCCCCAATGCCCCACCATAGCCCCAACCGCGGAATCGCCTGGTTCGTGATCGGCCCTCCGGCAACGGGACTTGCGTGCCTGGCATTTCTTCAATTTTGTGCATAAAAACTATCAACGATCACCCATCACTATCTGCGCATAGTCAAACCGAATACGCAGCTTGTGATAGATAATCGGGATTGGATAACTCCAACGGACACACATCATGCCGGCTGACCTATCACTGTACCTGGTCACGGACTCGACGCCAGCCATTCTCAAGGGTCGTGATCTATGTACCGTTGTCGAGGAAGCTATCAAAGGAGGTATGACGAGAGAACTTCATTCACTGTCCGAGAACTATCAGGTCATACTAATTCTCACCACCAGGTGTCACCATTGTCCAATACCGGGACAAGACCAGCGATACTGGTGATCTCATCGCCACAGCCAGCAAACTTCACCAAGTCACCCAAAAGTATGGTGTACCACTTCTGATCAATGATAGAGTAGATGTCGCCCTTGCTGTCGGTGCAGAAGGCGTGCATCTGGGCCAAGATGATATGGGTCAGTCGCTAGTCCCTTACTTACCCCACTGAAGTTTCTTTTTCCGCGGGATACTAATAGTCCCGGGCTACAGTGTTTGAAGCAGCCAAGAAGCTTTTGCCCAAGGGTTCTATCATTGGGATCAGTACCAACACGGTGGAAGAGGCGAAGAAGGCTATTGCTGATGGAGCTGATTACCTGGGTATCGGAGCGATGTTCGCCACTCCAACGTAAGTGCTGAACATGGATGCAATACTTGCAAAATGAGTCGTTGACAATATGATAGCAAGACGAACACCAAGTCTTTTCTCGGTACGGCAGGAACACAGGCGTTTTTGAACGCCATCAGCGATTCATCAGTTGGCACCGTCGCCATCGGCGGTATCAATCACAGCAACGTGCAGCGTGTACTCTACCAGTCCAAATCTCCCGCAAAGGGTCTGGACGGAGTCGCCATCGTCAGTGCAATCGTTGGTGCCGAGGACCCCAAGGCATCTGCCGAGAAGTTTGCCAGTCTGATCAAGAACACTCCCGTGTTCGCCTTGGCTCCTCGGCCTTCCCGGACTAATGAGGTTGAGGCCCTGCTGCAAGACGTGCCTGCTATCGTGCGCAAGATGACAGAAGCCCACCCGCTGGTTCACAACATGATCAACTTTGTCGTTGCTAACTTTGTCGCCAATGTGGCTCTCTCAATGTACTTTTTCCTCCCATCAAGGCTCTCATTTGTATTTACTAACTACTACTAGTGGCGCATCGCCCATCATGGCACCTTACGGTGACGAGGCCAAGGATCTATGCAAGTTCGACGGTGCCCTGCTCATCAACATGGGCACATTGACCAGCGAGAGTGTTTCCAACTACCAGAAGGCCGTACAGGCCTACAATGAGCGCGGTAACCCGGTCATCTACGATCCGGTCGGCGCTGCCGCCACCGAGATCCGCCGCAACGCCGTCTCGACTCTGATGGCTGGTGGATACTTTGATCTGATCAAGGGTAACGAAGGCGAAATTCGCCAGGTATGGGGAAGCAATGCTGTGCAGCAGCGGGGAGTCGACAGTGGTCCTAGCACGTTGGATGGCCAACAGAAGGCTAAACTCGCACGCGACTTGGCCCGGCGAGAGCGTAGGTTTACCTAGAATCTCCCCGCGGATACTGTTAGCTTATACTAATCTCTTGCAGATAACGTGGTCCTGTTGACCGGTGCCGTTGACTACCTCAGTGACGGCGAGCGCGTCATCGCTGTGGAGAACGGCCACTCATACCTTGGCCAAGTGACGGGAGTACGTTCAGCTATCCCCGTAACAACTCCATATTGGGAATTCTACTAACTCTTACTCTTTTCAGACTGGATGCGCCATTGGTTCTATTTCCGGTTGCTTCCTGGCCGCCCATCGCTCTGACAAGCTCCTTGCCGTGCTGTCCGGACTCCTTATGTACGAGATTGCTGCCGAGAACGCTGCTGCTAAGGACTACGTTCGCGGACCGGGCAGCTTTGTGCCTGCCTTCCTCGATGAGCTGTATGCGATTCGAACGGCTGCCGCCAGGGGTGATGATGGCTGGTTTATGGGCCGTGCTAAGGTACACGAGGTGAAATTGTAGATATGTAGATGGCGGTAAATATGAGAATATGACTAGATGAAAATTCGAATATAATTTGAATGTCAGGGAGTTCCGGGAATATTCCAGCAGTTGGTAAAATACTACCAACTACTCAGAGCATCCATTAAACCGTGACTGCCCATCTCAAATATTGACCTCAATGTGATTCAGTATCTAAATTTAACATATGGCGGTGCAAGTATTGGGACATCGGGAGCCTAACCCAGGACGGCCAGCCCGAGCCCACTCGTCATTGGTCCCCCAGAAATCCCGAGTGAGATTCATCCAGTAGACACTGGCGATCTACAATACGCATACTCGATCAAGATCTTGTCTGAGTTCTGTCTCAGTAGGAGTACTCAGCATGTAGGTTAGGCGCCCGGGAAAGGCGTCCGCCTTGTTTATGATTTCCACGGTACTTGCGCCGATTCAGAATATTGATTCGCGAATAAGAGGGAGCCTTAATGTAACCTGGGCTCAAGGCTGTCACATAGTCGCTAGTGATCTACTCGTGGCTACTACTGTTTCTAAATGGGGCAGTCATAAATCTTGAAAGAGAAAATTCTTGGTTATAAAAGAGCTGCGAGATACTGACCATATTCTCCATTTATCGCCAACCTTCCGAATCATTCAGTACCCAGTGTGCTATCTTGCCATTCACGAACACTATCAAATTTCAATCTATCAAAATGAAGTTCACCACGATTGCTACTGCCCTGGCCGCTGTCACCACCGCCATCGCCACCCCTCACACTGCTAAGCGCGATCTCTACCCTATCTCCGTAACCGACCTGACCGCAAGCTACTACGACCAATCCAAGCCCGAAACCACGCTGGTCAACTTCAAAATGAGCGACCCCAATACCAACATTGACACATCCTGCGATTCCCTCTGGTAATTATTCCATCCACTCTCTATCATAAACTCTAAGTCGAACACGATCACTTCAAAACAATGCTAACTCACCACCTTACAGGTCCATCGGCCAAGCCGCTACCATCAAGTTCAACTGCTCCGACCCAAGCTACCAGTTGAGCTTCCCGAACGGCATCTACAATGTAGAGGACTTTTTGATTGAGATCTCGCGGACCGATGGCTCCGAGTCAGGCAAGGCTCGTGCATATGGTACTTCGTGGAAGTGTGAGAAGCACGATGGGTATCCCTCCGAGACGTGTGCCTGGGATGGAGTTTTCCATGTTGGTTTCAGCCAGTGATTCTACATCAGTTTATGCGCATATTTGGGGTGATTTTCTATTTTCAGAAGTGTACTTTATAGGAGAGGGGCGGTACATAGATGTCTGATGGGGTTTGCATATGTTGTGGAACTCGTAATCCATCTGTTGATGAAAATAGAGGAGCGTATAGGATGCAAGATAAGCTTAAACTCGATCGATCCAAAGCGTGATGAGAGAATTAAATAACTGATAGTTGGATCCATATCTAGTACTACTATCTCCTATCTATAGTTTTGGTGCATTCAGATATAGTCGTCCAAGTATCGATGCCTCTATCCACCCGATAGTCAGCCACTAGTGGCCAACGGCCCTTCCGTTCCCCTCGGGCGATTTCCCCGCACCCCGGCAATCGCCGCTGCCAACTTGTTCCCTTAACAACCCCCCAACAAGCCCCTCAAACTACAATCAACCCTGCAAGTTATCCTCGATCTATCATCATGTCCGTCGTGTCTCGTGCCAGCCGTATCCGTGAGTGTCCCCACGCAATCCATTGACCCAGTCACAAAGCTAACATATACCCAGGGAACCCCGCATTGTTGTGCGTTACATCATACCAACCTCCACCTTTCCATCAACATACAAAGCTAACACATCCAACTACAGCGTCTGCGACATCCAGGACAAATTCCGCAATGCAATCTACGAATTCCCCAAGATGTACAATTCCCCCTCCAACCCCCTTCTCCTCCTCCTCCTTCTTCAACCACCACGCGCCATCCTAAACCCCATAATCTAACCCCCAAAACAACCAACCAGCGTCTCAACGACCGACAAACTCGTCCGCGCCGCAAAAATCCTCTCAATCCCAACCTACATTTCAACCCAATCCCGCTCCAAACTCGGCCCAACAGTCCCCGAACTGGCCACCAATCTAACCGGCCCGCACATCCGCGCCGACGTCGACAAAACCCTGTTCTCCATGATAACCCCCGAAATCGAAAAGCAGTTACCCGTGAAAGCGCAAGACCCGCTCGACGTGATCCTCGTCGGCATCGAGACGCACATTTGCATTACACAGACGACGCTGGATCTGCTGGAGCGCGGACATAGGGTTTACCTCATTGTGGATGGGGTTAGTAGTATCAATGCGGAGGAGAGGGGGATTGCGTTGGCGAGGTTGCGGGATGCGGGAGCTACCGTGACGAGTAGTGAGAGTGTGTTGTTTGAGATTTTGGGAGATGCGGGACATGAGGCGTTCAAGGAGATTAGTGGGTTGGTGAAGGAGACGAAGGAGGAGACTAAGGGGGCTTTAGGGGCCTTGGGGGTGTTTTCGAAGATTTAGGGGGCGGTCGTTGGTTCTATGATTTAGTTGGGTTCGTGGTGAAGAGTCTACGGGGTCAAAGTATAGACGATTGTTAGAGAAAGAATAGGTATGGAAATTTTCAGATGTGAGGTCAATTTTGATATGATTGTCGTGTCATAAGAGTGGCAATGTCAGCCACTGCGGAACTAAGAATAAGACACGACGAAAAGGACCTCGGAGACTCAGAACCATGCGCCCGCTCCATACCCCTGAAAAGCAGAACCTCGCTATTGATGAGATAGTGAGGTGAAACAGACCCGCTCGCTAAGACATAAAGAAGGGTATCGAAACGCAAATGACGCAGGTTTTCAAACCCACCGCGCAAGCTTTCACTTGGCGTTGGTGGTGGTGGTGGTGGTGGTGTTTAGCCACCCGAATGCCGAAGCACCACCGACGGGGTTTGGAGCCGGTGATTTTACCGACCCTTCCGACGGTGAGCGAACACTAGGCTGGCCAGCCCCAGAGCTTACCCGAGTCATCGACTTGGTAGGCTTGAGGACGGTCATGGTGCGCGGCTTGGCCTTGTTCCCGGTGTTTGACTCGGGCTTCGGCTCGCGGCGCCATGACCGCCAGGCATCTCCAGTCTCGGACTTGGCCCCGGAAGGCCCAGCTGGTGTTGCAGCTGTCGGCTGCGAAACCCCCAAGGCGGCCGTGCCGGTTTCTGGCAACCGGGGCTTCTTCCCCTCGTCAGCCTCACCCACAGAAACACGAGTAGAGACAGGCGCAGAAATTGACTGCTGCGCAGGCCGGACGGGCTCACCGATCACCCCGACGGCGCCTTGCTTGGTGACAAGGGCCTTTTGAGGGTATTCGGGGTGGCTGACATCGGCGGCGGTGTGGAGGAACTTGAAGACCCAGTCCTTCTCCGGGCGAACGAGGGGGATAGAAACCCGGTTGCGTTCATCATCAACCAGCATGAGTCTGTCCTGCGAGAACAGGATGTCCGCATTGTGAGAGCGCAGGACATCACTTCCCAGAACAATCTCAATAGTCTCGTCCTCTGGGTTTGTCCCGCGCACGAAAAAACAAACAGTCACCGCTGGAAGGTGCGGTGTGGGACTGTCAGATCGGGATGAGGACTGTTGGATGCTGGCCTCGGGAAGGTAAATTGCCAGCTTGAGCGAAGGGCGATCATCGCTGTCGCGAACGACCTTGTCCTCCAAACCAAGCTTGCGGACCAAACATGAACCGATTGATGAGACAAAAGAGCCCGAACAAACTGCCGCGTACAGGAGGGTCTCGTTAGAAAAGTTGGTCGTCAGCCAACACCGGATGATGGAAGGGACAGGGCCGAGCAGGAACAGTCCGGGAGGTGGGGTCAAGGGCCACTCATAAGCGGAGCTCATTAAGCGGCTGCTAGTATCAAGACGCAGACTGTTCGTCCGGGTCGAGTACAAAGACAGCCCCGAGGAGCATCGTCGGCCATCTGACTGGTGAGACAGGGATCGCTCGATCATTGGATGGTTGCTCATACCACTGCCGGTACGCAGTGGAAGCTCTGTGCTAGACCGATTGGCCTGCCCGTAGGATCCAAGGATTGCACTCTCATCGAAACGGACACTATTCGCCCGCGAGGCACCCCGGCGTGGCTCGTCTTCACCATCGTAACCGCCGATTGCAGAGCTGGTCACTGTGTGTTGATGTCCTTGGTCAAAGCCTTTGAACGGCTCGGGAGGGGAATTCGGTGCAGACTCTGTTAGAGATATATAGTTAGCTCCGTTCAATATGGTCACGGTCATCTGGAAATGAAGCGATAGGAACACGAGGCAGTACCTATAGGAATAGACCTACCAATACCAGTATGGATCGGGGAGGGAGATGAGCCCCAGATATTCTTCATCCTCGCATTATCGTCCTGATGTCTCTCCAATCTCGTAATCCTGTCTCCCTGAAAAGCCTGTGCCTCGTGCAGGTCCTTCAGCTCATCAATGACGCGCCAGATATCGTCTCGGGAGGCGAAGGGGTACTGGGCATCCATCACTAAGCCAGGTAGATAGACGGAGGCGGATTTTCGACCAGTACGCTAGCCGTTCAGCTAGTCGAACTTAGAACAGCAGCTTAAGACCTTTCACAGCAAGCAGACTGGTATTCTCGGCACTTAAGGCAGAAGCGAGAGCTTTGACGGGGACGCTCCAGCTTGTGTTCACTGGAATTCTCCGAAGGACACTTCACCGACACCTCACGTGCGGCGAACTCCTCCCACCTTCAGTAGGTGTGACGGCCCACGGGGCCGTCCACGCGCTGTATGGGACAGAGAATGGTTGTTATGCTCGAGAAATGCGGATATGATGAAGGAGGGTGCGGGACGGGTGTTGTAATAGGAGCGGAGCGGGGGGCCGAGAGGATGATAAGATGCTTTTAAATAAATTTCAGGATGTTTCGGTCACCGTCGGCTGAGCTCGAGAGGGTTTAGAAAAATGATAGGGCAAGAGAAGAAGAAGACGTGTTCCGGGATGAGATTCTCGGAGCGTGAAACGAAACGGAAGTCGTAGCGGAGGTAATGAGGTTACTGGACGAGGGTGTGGCGATTGCGGGAGAAGGGTGTCCGGGTAGAGGAGGGGGTTGATGCGGGTAATGGAAACAGGCGAGGTGATGATGATGTCGTCGGGGTTAGCGGTGGTAAGTGAGTGAAAGTGAGTCAGTTAGTGCAGGTGGAATTGGGGTTGTGTAGGCAGTGACGGGGAAGGCAGTGGAGAGGGGGGCGTCATGGATGCACGAGGGGAGAAGGGGATCTAGACCGCTTCCGTGAGCTGCTCCACTAACGGTCCCTACAATAGACTATGGACTATATACCATTTTAGGCTTCACAGTCTTGGACTTGAGTATTTGAGAGACTAAGCTAGCTGGAAAATTAAGACATTGAGCACTTATTATTGTTAAGCCTCTTGTGTTTTGTTTACTCAGCAATAAGCCGTGACTTTAGAGTCGCGACGCGTCTAGATGAAATATATGTTTACACTTGCGCGGAAACTTACCGGGGAGCCTCGCCCCAAGCCGGAAACACCATTGGCAGAACTTCAGGATCTTGATCAGGCCAATTGGCCCGAATAGTCTTGAGCACCTCCTCATAGACAATCCGGTATCCATCGCCCGTCAGGTGCAATCCTACATTTAACTAATTAGTCCGGTCGTAAATAAAACAGTAACTACAACCTTTCCCACTTACCATCAGTGAACAGCTTGCTAAACTGGTCATTATTAGGCACATCTCGGGAACCAACTAGTGCCTGACCCTCTTTCCAGCCAATAGTAGACATGAATGAAGTCCAGATGTCGGCCACGGGGATATCCAGCGAGGCGCCGACCTCTTTGGCAGCCTCTGCATAGACCTTGGTCAAATGAGCCGTCCGGCTAGGATGGGGAGTATCCTTTGCATTATCAAAGGCCTCGAGTTGGTACTCGTTGATAGGCGGGGGAGTAATGATGATGATACGAGGATCCTGGGCCCGGGTAGCAGGGTGCTCGGTGAGCTTTTGAAGGTTCTCTTTGTAGGTTGAGAGAGGGACATGCTGTACGTGGGTGGGTACACAGGCGTCGTTTGCTCCAAAGAAAATAGTCTAGTCGTGTTAGCGATTGTAGAACCGATTGTGCTCATCGTAGCTTGGTGATCGTACCATGAGCCGGACATTGGCGACCTGAGGAGAGGGGAAAATCTGGGGAAGTAGCTTGATAGCATGGGCGGTGGTATATCCTCTGTTGTAATTGTACTTAGTGGATAGCGTTAAAATTGATCATGGTAGTCGTTTGCGCTCACCCGAATCCCCGGTTAATCACATCCAGCCGACGGCTATAAGCTAATAAACGGGTAAGCATGTCGTATCTTCACCGGATTGGGTATATTGGAGAAAGCACCATCTTGCATTCCTGCACCAAAAGCAAATCCAAGAGTCTGGTTATAGGACATCTCGGTAATGGAGTCTCCGAAGAGGATGAACTGGTCATAGGGCCGGCCAGCATCCTCCACTTTGGTGGTAATACCCGTCATGATGAGACGTTAGGGAGAGTTGGTGGGAAAAGAGTAACGAGCAGTGTTCCTTCCAAGTGACTCGCTGAATTGACCAAGAATTGGCAGGACAATGGACCCTTTTAAAGCGACGATGGTGGGGTTGGAAGCTCCGTGACAAAAAGGACGGAAGTGGGGGGCTTGTTGTTTGCGCGACGAGCTTATCGGCCACGCGGTGTTTCTCCACCAATGGCCGACCGGATTCCATCCATTCAACCGGATGCTCGTGGTCTACATAGACCAAGTAGAGAATATCATCGTCAACATATAGACAGAGTTGAGGACTTCTAAGTTGATTCTGTATAAGTAGCATCACCGCTTAGTTCCGAGCTAGTGGCAATTCGTGCCCGATCACTCCATACGCCAATGGAGGGGGAATCAAGGGCTCAGCCAATAGCCATACGCAATGGGCGGAGCTACGAAGCTCCCCTCCCCGTCCTCGATAATGGGACTTGGGATAATATGCACCTACGCCTTCCCTGCAGGTTGATGTCATCCAAAAAACGGGCCGTTAGGATGCCGATCGGGGCACTGAACGGCGGAAGTCCCTCAAAGCTTAAGGTTTCCAGCAAGCAGCAACAACAATAATAATAACACCCATGTTCGGCCCCAGCCATCATCTCTCGGGCCTGTGATGACCATCCACAGAGTATCCCGGGCAAGATACAAGAAGTGCAGTGTGACTGAATTCCATGACAGATTCTTTGGACCCTCGATACCCTGGGTCATCCACTGCCAAGAGATCAGGCCCCAGATCGCCCCAGGCGGAGACAACGGGCATAGGGGACGGGACATGCATGGGGTACATGGATGGCGGGAGTCTGGGTACATTGGGACTGGTGTGGCACGGGCAATCATGTCTCAGCATGGCAGAATATAATTAGTTAAATGGTTAATGAGTTCGTTAGTCGAGTTAACTTAGCTAGCTATATTGAGTCCTGGTCAGGAGTCGCCCAGCCCGGGGTGAACTCGTGAAATGGTAATTTGTATGCCTTCGATCCGAGTCGAGTCGAGTCTGTCTCAGATGGCAGGCAGCATCTCACTAATCGAGGTTAGTCGTCGATGACTCGATATTGGACGGAACAGTCAGATGGTAGCCCTGGATGAGATGGATCCCGCACTGCCCTGAGCACCTCTCACCTGCCCATCTGCCCTCCATCCGAGTTCTGGGCACTGGGGGCTGATCTCCCGTGCTGAATATGATTTGTCCCTGCGATTCGGACGCGCGCTCCCGGACAACACTATTGAAGGTAACCCGTGTTCTAAACTGCCATGAAGAGTAATTAAATTAACAAGTCAATGCGAGGCCACACGTCCGGCAGCCGATCAGCGGGAAGCGCGGGGGATGAAAGTAACAGCGCGAGGCAAATTTGGAGATCGGGCCCTTCATGAAGCTGCGAATGAGAGGGCAAGTATTTGAAAGGGTGGACTGTTCAGCATTTGTGTTTCATATGAGCTGCATCGGGAATTGTGTAGGAGTGGCCATATGATTATCAATCAACGTTGAATGTGATAACATACTGACAGGCTTGTGGAATCTGAATAATGCGGAGAGTCGGACGGTGGAGTCGACTCGCACCTGACGTTGTTCAGGCGATCATCCGCCATTTCCCACTTCTTCTTTGTCTTTTATTCTTTGACTCTGACAATCCCTCCTTGACTCTTTGTTTCTGCTTCTCTCGTTATTCTATTCAAGCGAAGTATGCTCCTCTGTAAGTAAATAAACCCTCTGTTCTATATCGACCGTTTTTATACATGCAGCCACAATCTCCTGCTGCCCGAGGTGGGTATAGCTTCTCCCCGACCCAACCTTGCGTGATTGTGGAGCCCGTCCCCCCCGTCATTTCTGACCGCAAAACAGTCGACTAACTCGTTCCAACCCCCCCTCACCAGGCCCTGACACTCAGTTTCGAAGCATAGCGGCCTTTCACCAGCGCCATGCCTCGATCTGTGCCACAAGTCAGTTCCGCCTCGCGTGAGCAGGACGAGGGCGACCCGGAACTGATCGGCCCAACCTCCCGCACCGCCCCCCCGTCTCCAACAGCCTACCGTCGAGCGCAAAGCTATCTCTCCGAACCACACACGGGATACCAGTCCCTCGAGTCTCATCTGGAAATTGGCGAAACGACCAGTCTTCTCGGCTCGGAGGCTCACCGTCGAGCCCCGCGGCGATCATACACAAGCACCTCCGGTGTGTCAGGGCCGGACTCGCTGCGATATCTCCTTACGACGGGTAGCCTTCGTCGTACCGCCAATCACAGCAGGACCAACTCACAGGGTAAGCGATTCAGCCGTCGAGGGAGTCTGGGCGATGAAGGAGGTCGACCGGCGAGTTTACCACCATCGACCAAGGACGGATTGACCGCCTCTTCATTCCTCGATGAGCGGACCTGGTACGATCAATTCACCTCGACCGATTGGGTACACGATAGCATTGCCGATGGAGCGCGTTTGCGACAGCTTCGACAACGCAAGGATATTCGTGGGCGACTACTGGCCTGGTTCGACGGCGCGCAAGGATGGGTCTTGGTCGCGGTAATCGGATGCATCACGGCGGCGATTGCCTACTTTGTTGATATTACGGAGGGCGCGATATTTGATATGAAGATGGGTTATTGTGCACACCAGCTATTTGCGAGCAAGAGCCAGTGTTGCGGCGAGGGAGCCACTTGTACCAATTGGCGGTCATGGTCCCAGATCTTTCGCCCGTCCAGCACGGGGAACCAGTGGGTTGACTTTACGCTTTTCGTCGGCTGGGTGGTGGTTCTTGCTATGATCTCGTGCGCCCTGACTATGCTCACCAAGACGGTAGTCCCGTCGTCGATTTCGTTAACGACCTTGGATGAGAATCTGGGTGCGGAGGGTCGTGGTACTAAGCGTGGAACGGGTGGAATGGGCAGTGCTGGCTCTGGCTCGCCGAACTCCCAAACTAGCCCTCATGGGACGTTCCCCAATCACCCGCCCCGCCCGGCGATGATCTACTACTCCGCTGCCGGCAGTGGAGTTGCCGAAGTGAAGGTGATCAACAGTGGATTCGTGCTTCACGGGTACCTGGGCTTGAAGACACTGGTTGTCAAGACGATCGCTTTGATTTTCAGCGTCTCGTCCGGGCTTAGCCTGGGAAAAGAAGGGCCTTACGTCCATATCGCCACCTGCGTCGGTAATATCTGCTGTCGACTATTTGCCAAATACAACCAAAACGACGGTAAGCGTCGAGAAGTGCTGAGTGCAAGTGCTGCCAGTGGTGTTGCCGTCGCTTTTGGTGCTCCCATTGGTGGTGTGCTTTTCAGTCTGGAGGAGGTCAGCTACTATTTCCCGCCCAAGACCTTGTTCCGAACATTCTTTTGCTGTATTGCAGCCGCGCTGTCTTTGAAATTCCTCAACCCGTACGGCACTGGCAAGATTGTCTTGTTCGAAGTCCGTTATAACACGGACTGGGAGATCTTCGAAATCATCATCTTCGTTTTCCTTGGTGTACTTGGTGGTGCCCTCGGCGCTTTTTTCATCAAGGCCTCGAGCTGGTGGGCTCGCACGTTCCGTCGCATCCCGGCCATCAAGCGTTGGCCTATGCTGGAGGTGTTCCTTGTCGCCGTACTCACGGGCTTTGTCAGTTTCTGGAACAGATACACCAAGCTGCCTGTGACAGAATTGCTCCTCGAGCTCGCCAGTCCGTGTGAAGGAGAGTCGCGGTCGAGCA